AGTGTGTGTGTGTAGGAGATATACTGTGTAAAGGACCCAGTGTGTGTGTGTGTATGTAGAGGATTAAGAGTGCATATAGGGTAAGGGATCTAGCGTGTATCTGGAGCGTAATGTGTGTAGTGGTGCAGTGTGAGGGGTGCTGTAGTGTGTGTGTGTATATATATATATATACATATATATATATATATATATATATATTTGGACGTATTGTATGTGTGAGGGGCGCAGTGTGTGTATGTAAGAGGGGTGCTGTGTGTGAGGGTGTTTTTATCTGCTGTCACATTCTAGGTTTCTAATTTTCTTTGTCTATTAACTCACTGAGGGTTATTTTATATATATATGTGTGTGTGCTGTGTATGTGTGGGAGTGTGATGTGTGCGTGACTGAATGCGCTGTGTGTGTCTGGGGGTGCGCTGTGTGTGTCTGAGGGTGCTTTGTGTGTTTGGGTGCTGTGTGTATTTGGGTGCTGTGCTGTGTGTGTCTGGGGGTGTGCTGTGTGTGTCTGGGGTGTGCTGTGTGTGTCTGGGGGTGTCTGAGGGTGCTGTGTGTATCTGGGTGCTGTGTGTGTATGGGTGCCGTGTGTGTTTGGGGGTGCTGTGTGTGTCTGGGTGTTGTGTCTGGGTGCTGTGTGTGTTTGGGGGTGCTGTGTGTGTCTGGGTGCTGTGTCTGGGTGCTGTGTGTGTCTGGGGGTGCTGTGTGTGTCTGGGTGCTGTGTGTGTCTGGGTGTCTGGGTGCTGTGTGTGTCTGTGTGTGTCTGGTGTGGTGCTGTGTGTGTTTGGGGGTGCTGTGTGTGTTTGAGGGTGCTGTGTCTGGGTGCTGTGTGTGTGGGGGGTGCTGTGTGTGTGGGGGTGCTGTGTCTGTCTGGGTGCTGTGTGTGTTTGGGGTGCTGTGTGTTGTCTGGGTGCTGTGTCTGGGGGTGCTCTGTCTGTCTGGGTGCTGTGTGTTTGGGTGCTGTGTCTGGGTGCTGTGAGTGTTTGGGGGTGCTGTGTGTGTCTGGGGGTGCTGTGTCTGTCTGGGTGCTGTGTCTGTCTGTGTGCTGTGTGTGTTTGGGTGCTGTGTCTGTCTGGGTGCTGTGTGTGTTGTCTGGGTGCTGTGTCTGGGGGTGCTGTGTCTGTCTGGGGGTGCTGTGTGTGTGAGTGTGAATGTATTTTTTATTTAAATATATTTATTTTATTAATAAAAAAAAATTATATCCTCCCCCCCTCCCTTCTTACCTTTATCCTGGGAGGGGGGGGGAGATCCGTTCTGCCTGGGGTGCCATGAGGCCATCCTTCCCTGGGGGTCCAGTGGTGAGAGTGAACTCTAACCTGCAGGCTAGAGTTCACTCTCGCGAGATCTGAGCGTTGCCATGGTAACCGCGGCAACGCTCAGAATCCCGCGAGAGGACCCGGCGGAGCTGCTGGTTAGAGCTCCGCCGGTCCTCTCCTACCTCCCCCCCTCACCCAGCCTGCTGGTGGCCGCCTGTAACTGACTGTGGGCCGGTGAGGGAGATCTGTGATCTCCCCACCGGCCCATGAAGGCACACAGCAGGGCTGGTGCTCGGGTAGCGCTGGCCCTGCAGGGGCTGGCAGGGGAGATCCTGTGATCTCCCTGCCGGCCTCGACCCACGGACATCGCGGCCCACCGGGAATTTGCCTGGTGTGCCCGATGGCCAGTCCGGGCCTGGGTAGGACCACACCTTGAATATGCTGTGCAATTTTGGGCACCTCTTCTAAAGAAGGATATCATGGCACTAGAAAAAGTGCAGAGACAAGCTACAAAACTGATAAAAGGAATGGAGTATTTTAGTTACGAAGAAAGGTAAAAAAAATTTAAATCTCTTTAGTTTGGAAAAATGGCGCCTCAGATGGGATATGATAACATTATACAAATATATTCGGGGCCAGTACAAACCATTATCTGGAAATCTATTCATAAACAGGGCTATACATAAGACACAAAGTCACACATTTAGGCAAAGAAAAGTTTTTTTTACAGTAAGAGCAATAAGGATATGGAATTCTCTGCCTGAAGAGGTGGTTTTATCAGAGTCCATACAGATGTTTAAACTTCAATTGGATAAATACTTGCAAAAACATAACATACAGGGATATAATTTATAATTAGTGGAGAAATAGCTGCTTGATCCAATGAGACATCTGACTGCTATTTTGGGGTCAAGAAGGATTTTTTCCTAATTTGTTGCAAAATTGGAAGCGCTTCAGAGTAGGTTTTTTGCCTTCTTATGGATCAACAGCAAAAACATACGTGAGGAAGGCTGAAAGGGACTCTCCAGTGCCAGAAAAATCAATTTTCCTGCCACTGCAGGTCCCCTCCCACCTCCCATCCCCGGTTGCTGAAGAGGTGAAAACCCCTTCAGTCACTTCCCATCAAATGGGAGCAGGAAATGGGTTTTTGGAGGAAGAATGGGCAAAAACTTTTAAGATAACAAAAAATACAATACATAGTATATTGCTCTATGAGAAGTTTATAAAGATCATTTTCAGATGGTAAATGGTACCTAACAATTGCAAACTTTCAAAATAATGACTATAATAGTCAAAACAAGTATTGGAGGTATTATACTGATATTGGTTCACATAAACATATATGGTGGGATTGTACAAAACTAACTGTACTACAAAATAAATTGGAATGCGAAAAAGGAAAATTGTTGGGTGTAACATATACTTTAAGTATTCAAAGTTTTCTCTTTCGCATAGACTTTCCTAAGATTAACAAACCATTACAAATGCTTTTAATCCAGATTCTAATGGCTACAAAAGTTTGTATTGCCAGACGTTGGAAGACCCCCGAAACTCCATGTTTGTCCGAAGTTAAATTCCAAATGGATTTTCAACGATTAATGGAGAAAGCAGTATATATAAACTTTGAAAACATAGACTTGTATTATAAAATTTGGGACCCATGGGAGAAGTAAACAGATATATCAGGGGCCTACTGAGTGCCCCTCTACTCCCCCATCCCTCCCTACCGACGAGTGTGCCTGTCAGTATAAGTGTGTAAGGTTTTGGTAGTATGCCTGTTGTTATTGATCCTACAGACATTAAATTTAGAACAACTCTGTATGTATAGTATAAGATGGAGTACAGTGAGTAATATTGACCGTTATTATTAATATATTTTCATAATTGAAGGTATAAAAATTACAAACATACATACTGTAAAAATTGGAATGAATGAAAGTATTTGCAAATGATGATTTTGGTATTTGATATTAGCTTAGATGGAAAAGATACAAAAGGAATAGAATACCAATCTCTGATGTTAATAAAGAAAAAAAAGTAATTAAAATAAGAAAAACTACAAAAACAAGAGGACATAGTCTTAAATTAGTGGGGAAAGGTTTAAAAATAATATCAGGAAGTATTACTTTACTGAGAGGGTAGTGGATGTATGGAATAGCCTTCCAGCTGGAGTGGTAGAGGTTAACACAGTGAGGGAGTTTAAGCATGCGTGGGATAGGCATAAGGCTATCCTAACTATAAGATAAGGCCAGGGACTAATGAAAGTATTTAGAAAATTGGCAGACAAGATGGGCCGAATGGTTCTTATCTGCCGTCACATTCTATGTTTCTATGTGTGTGTATGTATGAGTATGTGTATGTATGCAGGGCCGGCGCTTACTATAAGGCGAACTAGGCAGCCGCCTAGGGCGCCATGTAGGAGGGGGCGCCCTGTGCCCCCATCGCCGGCCCTTTAAATGCTGCAGCCGCATGAGCGCTCTATAGAGAGCGCTCAGACGGCTGCCGCACTGCCTCACCTCCCCTGCCCTGTAGCGTGGCTGAGCTCCTTTCCCCTCCCTCCTTTAGTGGTCTCTCCCTCCCCTACGTTCTCATCTCCCACCCCTCTTATTCCCCCCTCCCAGGGCCGGCGCTTCCTATAAGGAGAACTAAGCAGATTGTAAGCTTGCTTGGGCAGGCCCCTCTTCACCTACTGCTCCAGCATGTAAATCATGTTTTGTTAGAATTTAGTGTTTATCATTGTTTACCTATTGTACAGCACTGTGGAATAGGTTGGTGCTATATAAATAATTGCAATTGTTAGCACTTTTTAGAAATGTTAGAACAGTTTAAGGCTATTGGATGATGGTTAGTTTAGTTTTTTCTAATCCTTCCTGGTGCTGATTACGCTTTTGATGATCCTGTTAATGTGTTGCTTGCTCCCGTTAGGCAGGATTGTAATTGCCGAAACTTGAGGTTTTAATGTATGGCATAATGCCCTTTTATCTTAATCCGATAATGGTAAAAGTGCTGTCGCACAGTATCAGAAAATCGATTCTATGCCCTTTTCCCAAGTCCCTAAATATATGAGGGCAAAACAGAATACTCTACAAATTATTTTCAGATTATTTTATTGAACAATTTTTAGAAAATATTATAATAACAATATAAACAAAGACATATACACAATTGAATGATGAAGAAACTAAAAAGGGGGCAAAATATTAAAATAAAAAATGGGAAGGGGGATTCTATCCATAGTTACACAAGATATAATTATCTAATTTAGACTCTACAAATTCTCTTGCAAAACAAAAGAATTCCATAATACAAAGTTCCTCCTAACCCTAAACTAATCATATCTTCCAAAACACTCAGAGGAGAATGACTTGGGTTTTTTTTTTTTCCAATTCACCTCTTTAGTTCTACTTATTTAAATTCACTTTGAATGCCTAACAATTTACAACTTCACACACAGCCCTGATCGTTGATGGCATTTTTAAACAACAGTTCTAATTATTTAAAGGTATTTAGGTGTAACACTAAGCATACACACTGCAGCTTATAAATAATTAAAACATGAGAAAAAAAATATGAAAGTTTTATAGGAGTTATTAATGAAGTCTATCATTGTATTGGTTTATTGCAGAACTGGGCTTCATCATGCTCACACCCCAAGACTCAATGCACAGCGTAATCTTTGGAACTCTCCGTGTTGACTGCATTTATGTTTGTTATTTTATTTACTATAAACGTTTTTTATTTCCACACGGAACTCTTCCTCGCTCTGCTTGTTTGTGACCGGAGGCAGTGAGAGGGACACCCGAGTGTTCCACCGATTTCAGTCCCCCATATCAGGGTCACGCTGTGTCCTGGTGTTAGTAGCAGGGATGTACCGGAGGATTGCTCAGTCCCTGTGGGTAGATGGCATGTGGGTGACATCTCGGGGTGTTATAGCTGGCACTAGCACCCTGTCCACCAGCTGCAGGTATGGCACAGTATATACATGTAGGAGACATTGAAAGGAGCCATTAACAGCCAGCCATGCACTGAGCTCCACAGTAATGTCAATATTCCTCAAATCAGACTAAATAACTAAACCCTGCAGTCTCTTACTCTAAAATGATTGCATTTTAGTAGAATAATATTCATGGTGCAGGGCTGGAGAATTATTGAAACGATGTAAGAAATAAAAAAAAACTTTAGGTGTGTGTGTGTGTCTATATACATATCTCAATAATTGTGGTTATTACATTTTAGTGTTACTTTAATGGTACTTTTCCCCCCTGAATATTTCATTATACTGTAAATACAAAGTGTCCCGTAGCTGTCTGGAAACTCTATAACCTTTTTAATTGTTCGCATCACTTGATTTTAAATGCACTTAATGTTTGTTTTATTCATTTTATTGACCTTTGTCAGTTGTGAGAGATCTGAATGCTAACTTGCACATGAAAGGTTTACCCATCATCTAAACAATACATACAGGGTTATTTACTAAGGTGAGAATTCAAAGTGAATTTCAAGTTTTACATCAAAATAAGCAAACTGGAAAAATTCTCTAAGTCAGCTATGCTATCCGTTCGGCTTCTCTGAGTTTATATTTACAATTCTTCTCTTTGAATTCTTATTTTAGTAAATAACCCTCTTGGGGATACTTGGTAGGACCCATACTTTTATCTCTATATTGTGCTTGCCACATTGCTACCAAATGTGCTAATGCCTGTGGTTTATAAGATTGATTCCAGTTAAAGTGGCAAAGACCACGGTGACATGTCCAGTGGCTGGGGGGGAGGCAAAGGTGAGTATAAGTTACCTAAACCTGTCTCTTGCGGGTACCACCACTATCTTCTTCTGGCCGGTCGTCTTCTGCTTATGGTGCTTAAGAGCCAGGAATCTACATCACTGCTGTAGTCTTGCGCATTCGCGATATTACAGCATTGATTTCCATGGAAGGTCCTGCGGGATTCTCTGTAGACCGCAAATTCCTTGCAGCCATCACTGTCAATTTTTTGAACTCGACCTTTTAAAAAAATGTTAGTGATAATAATTTGCATGTATAGAATAGTAAAGTGGACCCTTTAATACAGCTTAAAAAGTAAGTGAAAAACAAACAAAACACCTGGTGCCCAAGCTTTCTGTATTTTAGAAAACATTAGGGAAACCAGTAGGATTGACGTTTGTGTAATGATTCAGTTATACTGCAGTTTGTAGCGTGGACGAAGTTGTCTATGTACTGTAAAGCTGAATTCTTTGCCATAATAATTTTATTCAGTATACTATTTTGAAAAAAAAAAGAATGTTTTAATGTCTTGCAAAATAGTGGAATGCGTGCACGTCAGCGATGCCATGGTATGATCAATGTAAATACATTTAAAGGACCATTATAGGCACCCAGACCACTTCAGCTCAATGAAGTGGTCTGGGTGCCAGGTCCGCCTAGTTTTAACCCTGCAGCTGAAAACATATCAGTTTCAGAGAAACTGCTATGTTGACACTGCAGAGTTAATTCGGCCTCTAGTGGCTGTCTCCCTGACAGCCACTAGAGGCGCTTCCACAATTTACACTGAGTAAATCGCACTTATTTGACGCTAGATGGCCTCATGGACTCCAGCGTCAAATAAGATCCCTCTAGGAAAGCATTGAGTAATGCTTTCCTATGGGCGGGTTTGAATGCGCACGCGCCTCCGTCCGCGCATTCGGCTCCACTAGGGAGCTGACGTCGGAGGGGGAGAAGAGGTCACCAGCGCAGAGGGAGCCCGGCGCTGGATTAAGATAAGTGGCTGAAGGGGTTTTAACCGCTTCAGCGCCGAGGGAGGAGGGCTCTCCAAGAGCCTGTAGTGCCAGGAAAACGGGTATGGCACTATAGGATCCCTTTAAACTGTAATCGGCATAAATGTTAGTAGGTTTTTTTTTTTCTTTCTAACTAATGCAAATTTATCAAGTTGGTAATTAGGTTGAAATATTTTAAAATGAATTTCCTGCTGTCTGCAAAAGCTACAGATTGTTGTTTTCCTCTCTTTTTTTTAATTGATTAATATTACATTGTCTCAGCTGAAAGGTCCACTTTAACACCTTTCCAGTTTAATATCTAGATTCGGTGAATTGTCACATCATGACTGTTTTTTTTTCTGCATTTTTTTTATAGGAAGGTTGATCATCCACTTAGATGGCTGCATGCGGGCACTGTTAACAGATGTGACAAACGCGAGCCTCTATCTGAAAAAGCTGCTAATGGTAAACAACAGGAAGAGGCGAAGGAGAAGGCTCCTGAACCATCCCCTAAAGAGAACTTGCTTGACATGATTGGTGGTATGAAAGTTGAAATAAGTTCCAAGAGCAGATTCCAGGCTTTGAAAGTATCTAAAGCCAAAGCACACAACACAGAGCAGGTTGGGAATATGGAAACTACAAGCAGTATGTTCCAAAGGGTTGCAGAAGAAATTCAAGAAGAACGGTAAGCTATTGATCTGAAATCGATTTTTATGAAAAAACAAACAAATTGAGAATAGGCAACATCTCAGTAGTTTGACCTTCAGTTATTCCCCCCCCCCCCCATATCTCACATGTCTTTAATCTTAAATCAATTTCCTTTTCAAAACCTTGTTGAGACCGTTTCCAGCATGTAAGCGACGTGATGTGAATTTATTTAGTATTATCTGTAATCTCAGTTATTGGTGGTTAGGACTAAATCCAATCTATTAGATTGCAGGGGAAGGCCTATGGCATGTTTTGAAAAATCTCCAAGCACTATAAGCACTACAAACTTCTGCAGTGGTTGTGGTTACAGAAGGGCCCTGGAACCCTTCCAGTGTAAGTAGACAAGCCGTTTGAGAATGGTTTGAAAACTTACCTGGGCCTGCTGGGCCCACTCTGCTGCTTTCTCTCTATCCAGAAGTTTTTGCACTGATCTAAGCCCTATGATGCAGGGATGCACTTAGCTGGAGATCTCAGGCAGTGAGCCTGCCCTGCATGTACGGAATTGGCTCAGTGGAGCTAATGGAAGCAGCTTGCAGGCACTTCCAGCTCTGGCAGAGGCAGCGCTGGGTGGTCCTCAGGTATATTGTCAAACTGTTCTCAGATGTTTTGACTATTTACCCTGGGAGAGTGCCAGGGCACTCCTTGCACCATAGCCATTACAGAGAGTTGTAGTAGTTATGGTCATAGAAGTTTTCTTTATCTACAAAAAATACACTTCTATCTCTTTTCCTACATTTGCCTAAATTGAGCAAATTTCAGGTTGGTACACTATTTAGTGACCATCTTCCTGTGGTTGTGAAAAGTTTACATTTGGCTAATGGTTTCATGCAAAGATATTATGAAGACTGTGTGTATATTGAGACTGCATGCAATTGTGTAATTTGATTGGCTCACCTTACCCCCAGGAATACAATTGTCCCTTTGTTTAACACTAGACCCTACCTCAAACTAGGTTCAAGTCATATATATGCAATTCTGTTTATTGGGCTTTAGTTCATGTTGTTAACTAAAAAAGCAGGGTTTGCACATGAGGACCTTCTCTTTACTGCAAGGAGGACACCATAACAGGCTTTATGCACTAAACATCAAATTGTAGGCCTGCGTGCCTTCAACTGTATCTCATTTTTCCTATTTGCTTTATTACAATAAAAATTAGATTTACAAAAAAATAAACAAACATCAAATTGTAGTGCATTCAAAACAGAATTGCAAAATCTAAGGTGAAATAGCCAAACTGGCTAAAATCTAAATCTAAATCGGCAACTGTTGCCTTAAATTTTAGTACATAACTATTCAATGTTAAATGAATAAATGCCTGAGAAGAGCAGACATGTAATCAGGCAAACAGTTTATTTTCTTTTCTAATTTATCTTTAAAGCTATGTATATACATATTTTAATCTGTATAGAACCTCACAAAATTCAGCATTCCAAAATCATTAATGTGTCACATAAATGTATGCATACCGTGTGGTTTTTTAACAGCAAGCCTCTAAGTCCAGACATGGTGGCTGCAGTCTCTGCCGTTGCTTCATCACTTCCATTAAACAAAAAGCAAGTGGAATCTGAACTACTTCAGCAACTACGCAAACATGAACAAGAGACAGATGTACAAAGAAAAGCAGAAAATCAGCTCAGGTGAGCTTTGTGTATGCATCCATACCCGATTGTGTTCTTTATATTCATCTGGTTCTTTTATAGGTAGTTTTTAATTAACTGCCCACCACTTTGTGTTCTGTATTTGTTTTGTCCATGCATTTTAGAGTTGTATGCTCATGTATATCTATATTTTGGACTTGCCTTGATTATTTGGACATTCTAAGCACTACAACTACTAAAGTTAATTTTGCTGGTTGTTGAAGAAAGACTCTTAGGGTGCTGTCACTTAGTTAATATTAAACTGTTTCAGAACGGAGCTCTCTTGACATCTAAATTCTGGCCTGCCTTCTGTTTGGAAATAGCTTGACACTTATAGGGTAGACTACACCTAAACACCCTGCTCACACCAGGGAGACCCAGGTATCTCTCGATACCTGGGGCTTCCTTCTGTCAGCTGGGCCACATTTATCTGACCGATGAGCTCTACGCACCGCTGCACAACTATTTAAATTCATTGAGAACACCGCTACTGAACAGATTGCTCAAGGGAGACCCCTCGGTCTGAACATACTCTGACAGGGTCTCCCTGCTTGTCCCCCCTGCCAAATAATTTTTCTTTAGTTGCAGTGGATGTGCGAAAAGTTTTAAAAATAAAAAATCTAAATTCCCTGCTCCCCCCTCCTTTTTTAACATCTTATTCACACTTAAAGGGACACTGTAGGCACCAAGACCACTTAATCTCATTAAAGTGGTCTGGGTGAAGGACTCCTGTCACCTTACCCTGCAAGTAGTAGCAGCGAAAATGTGTTGTAGTTTCAGAGAAATTGCAATGTTTACATTCTAGGGTTAAAGTCAATGCAGATCTGTATTCCTAACACTATAGTTCCCTCTAGTTTTCTCGTCCCCACTCCCTCCGGGATGTAAAGGGTAAAATAAAACCTTTATTTACCCACCTGATTCTGCGTACTCCTCCAACATCATCTGGTAGGGGGTGGTAATGTGCATGCGCATCGAGCACCGCAAGTGGAGTAGACCCTCCCCATAGGAAAGCATTGCCTATGTTTGCGTTGGGGGGAGTGAGGGAGAGCTAAAGTTAGGGATAGGGGCATACTATAGCATTAGGAATACAAAACTGTATTCCTAACACTATAGTTCTCCTTTCCTTATTGTTGTGTAGGGTATACATATAGGATATTAAAAAAAAAAAAAAAAAAAATTCCTCTGAACCATAAAAGAAAACAATATATTATATGTATGGGAGCACTCATAGATAAACCCTTAAATTTCTGTGGATCAAAGACATAAGGGCTTCCCTGATTGGAGTGCTACGATAACAAGCCATTATCAAGCTATTTGGTGACTGGCACACTAATACCCGTTCCATCTCAGACCTGGCAAACCTGGCAGGTGTGGTTTAATTGGTGTATGAATCCTACAGGTAAATTCAACATACAAGATGTAGAAGAAGTGGTGAGGATTCTGCTCAAACAAGCTTACAATTTAACGTAAATGGGAATATTTGCCCAAGTATATTGTCTAGAACAAACGATTCTATGCAACATGTTTTTAAACACTCTGACTCTTATATGGGGGCTCAAGATGTGCCATCTAAAGTTCCCCTTCCGGTCTGGATATATCCATTTCATCCCTGTTTGGACTGAATTCATAGACTGTGATTGTCAGCTGATGGCACGGGTGGGATTGATGTCACTTATGTGGCAACTTCCACTTTAGCGATATCGCAAGAGGAGGGTCAGACTAAAAGTGCCAGTTTGACTCTTATCTGGGGATGGACACCAGGGAATTCCTGGAAGGCTGTAGTGGTTTTGTGAGCAGAGAATCTCATGTTCAGCAAGCATCGAATTACTTCCCAGTACTCAGAATTTACATTACCGAACTTTAACCACATGATGTCAGCCTTGTCACATAAATGGAAACGTTTCTTAAAACTGTCAGTACATTTCTTATCATATTATTTCGTACAGGGAAGGTGTATGAATATGGATGGCTATTTTTGGCATAGATGTTGCAATTTGGTTGCTTGTTAACTTAAATGTGCTGTTTAAAAAAATAAAACCTTTTTTCACTTAAAATTCATACATCCCTTTTATAAAGTAAGAGTAGTTTGTTACTTTTAGACAGCCACTAGAGGAGGAGTTAACCCTCAAAGGTAATTATTGCAGTTTTGAAAAACTGCAATAATTACCACTGTAGGGTTAAGGGTGATGGGACATTGCACCTGAATCACTTCAATGATCTGAAGTGGTCTGGGTGCCTAGTGTCCCTTTAATTAAATATTTAGAGTTTTTTTTTTTTTTATTTTTTTTTTTTATATATTTATGTGCATATTATGAATTACAAACTTCAATTATTACTCTTTAAATTGTTAGAAATATATTGAAAGTAAGCACAATTTACATATATTTTTGTTGTTGTTTATGATCTTCCAGTAATATAATTTCCGAAATGAAGATCGGGAAGCGCACAAGATCCAGATCTGCAGCAAACGAGATTAGATTTGATGATGATGGTCAAGGATTCACAAATAACAGAGGTGTCACACAAGAACTTAACAGTGTCCGGAGGTATTTCCCCATTTTTGTTTTAGTAATCTATATATATTCTTTATATAGCATTGTTTTGAAAGGTTCTTTTAAAATACCTCCTATGCTACGTGTAGGTAGTAAAGGTTCACTCAAGATCCTTCAAGAATGTATCCTCTTTTTTTTTAAATTTTTATTTTACAGAAAGTGCAGATTTCAATAAAAATTAGTCCTTGTATAAGTAAAACTTGTTACACCCCTTTGGCTTTCAATCAGACAACTGTTACTGGGTGTTTTGCCCAGTGGAGCTAAACTTAATTGCACAGAGCTCCTGCCTTGCAAAGACTTCTCATTCAACTGCATTGGGAAGTCTGTGATTGGACAACCAAAGAAATTATGCGAGGGGTTAGTAAAGGTGGGCTTGCAAAGTTCTCACACAAGTGATCCGCAGTGTTTGCAGGCCGATTCTATAATATAGATTATAAAATATATTATTAAATGCATGTTTTATTGCTACTAAATAGAATTAAAAAAAGTATTTCTTTTTTTTACATTGGGGTAGAGTGTTCCTTTAAGACAAATGTGGTTAAAGGACCACTCTAGGCACCCAGACCACTTCAGCTTAATGAAGTGGTCTGGGTGCCAGGTTCCTCTAGGATTAACCCCTTTTTTTTTTTTTTAAATAAACATAGCAGTTTCAGAGAAACTGCTATGTTTATAATAGGGTTAATCCAGTCCCTAAAGCCTCTAGTGGCTGTCTCATTGACAGCCGCTAGAGGCGCTTGCGTGCCTCTCACTGTGAAAATCACAGTGAGAAGACGCAAGCGTCCATAGGAAAGCATTATGAATGCTTTCCTATGAGACTGGCTGAATGCGCGCGCAGCTCCTGCTGCGCATGCGCATTCATCTGAAGAGGAGGAGGAGAGCTCCCCGCCCGGCGCTGGAAAAGAGGTAAGATTTAACCCTTTCCTCGTCATCCAGCCTGGCGGGAGTGGGACCCTGAGGGTGGGGGCACCCTCAGGGCACTATAGTGCCAGGAAAACAAGTGTTTTCCTGGCACTATAGTGGTCCTTTAAAGGTTTTTTTTTTTCTAATGAAGAAAGAATACAACAAGAGTTTAACTTTTTTCTATCTTCTTTTACTCTTCTCTTTTTTTCTACAAATGGGTATCACTGAAAGCATTTTCTGATGAGATTCTGTTTTCACATGGAGCCTATTTCCTGTGAATCATACCTGTGATAGCAAAATTGTATACAGCTGCAGAGATAATCCACTAGCTACCAGAAAGTCCTTCAAAGACATTTGTTAAGTTACATCAATCCTTCATACAATAAAGAAGATGTCGGTTCTGGTTCCCAGGACTGAATGTAATATATTTTTTTCCTCCATGTTGTGCTTGGTAGTATTAATATGTACGGCTTGGTCTTAACATCAAAGGTTCAAAACTTGACAGATGTTTTCAGGGGAAATAAACATTACCTAGTTTGATAGATGTTTCCTAAAAGGATTCTTATGTAGGGCTTTATATATTTTGAAATATACCATCTTATGATTTAATTTGTTTCTCTTGAACAGAAAAAAAAAATATTCCTATTTCAAAACATGGGCCCATTTAATATGATGCACTTACCTGCATACATACCGTGTGGCCTGGTGACGTTTAGATAATGGGTGATTTTGGTCTTAACACACTCACACAGTGCGCAGAAATTTAGAAATTCAAAGGCTAATTTAACCCCCTAAGGACCAAACTTCTGGAATAAAAGGGAATCATGACATGTTACACATGTCATGTGTCCTTAATGGGTTAAACAAGAACAGATTACACATTATGCCCTTATTTTAATATGGTTGCATAAGCTTTCAAATGATTTCATATTTTTGGATAAACTTTTTTATATATATATATATATATATATATATATATATAATTTTTTTTAACCATGCGTTTTTTGCTTACAAATACACATTAAGATGCAATACTTACAGCAGCAGCAGTGTCCTTAGATCTTGATGGTGGCTGCACAGTTTGAATGGATGACATTGAAACTTGTTTCATGTCACACCTTTGTGTGTAGTTTTTTTTTTTTTTTTTAAATGATCTACAAGTCTTAAGTTTACCCAGATATTACTACCCATACCTTGCGGTAGAGGTGGATATATGGTACATATGGTTGAACTGAAACATAATTCTTTGACCGCGTCAATAAAGAGAAGCTGCAAAGTGGACCTTCCGTTCTTTCTCTGAGCATAAAGGAACACACCATTAAATTAAATAATTTAGTCGATGTGCACCCAATGTAAATCTGAATATAATTTGTTTTGCATATATTGTATCTGGAGGGTTATTAAATCCTAGCTGCAGATCTAGTATCTGCAGCTGCTGCAAGCTCTCCCCCCTATTCAGCAGACATTCTGTGGCTGACAATTCTCAATAAACTTTATTACAGATCATTGAGAAGTGATTGCAAGCTAGGTGCTCTGAGCAACAGCCTGCCTCTTGAGTTTAGCTTCAAGAAGCTCACTTACCGCGAAGCAACGGTATCGGCTGTCGGATTGACAGACATTTATGCTTCCTTTATGAAACTGCAGATTTAAATTGAAATAACCACTTTTATAAAACAATAAATAAAGAAGAAACACACTAATCACACATAACGCCCTTCAGCAATTTGAAGTGTTTTCTGTGTTTGGAGTGTTTCTTTAAAACTGAAGCATGGATTTTTACGCCATCAGCATTGACTCTATAAGAGTCCATAGGTTCAAACATGGTCTCCATAGCTAATATATTGGGAGCAAGTTACTTGCACACTTCCAGTTCATGTGCATGATCCCTGGCCTGTTTTCCTTCCTCATAACATTCAATCACTGAACCCATGATTTTAGAGTCTCAATGGGATGAGTATTTTGTGCTGTGAAGGAAATTGCTTTACTAATCCACATTAAAATATTTAGTTTTTTTTGTGGCTTTAAAGAGATACCGACACTTTTCTGGAAATGACCCCATTGAATAAAACAATGAAAATTTCCCTTATAACTTGTGTTCATTATGTTTTTTTTGTATGATACTCTGTTTTCTTTTGTTTAAAGATTTACTCCAGGCACCATGACCACTTCAGTGATTTGACGTGACCATGGTACCTGGAGTCTGTATGTCAACAACCCCCTGCAGCGTTAATGGGGTGTCATCAGCCAGCATGGAACTGGAGTTCTGGGATGGCTCAGCTGACGCTCTCAACCAATGAATGGTGACGGCCTCTGCGTCTAGCCTTTGCGAGACTGCAGAATTCCAGGCGCTTTTTACGAGACCACCTGGGAGTTCGGCAGAGACCCAGCTGTGGGGAAAAACTAATCCTAAACAATTTGCCCCATTACGAGGGAACCGTGCCATTGGCATCTTAACCACTACAGCAGGCTGCAGGGTTTATGTTGATTGGAGTAATCCTTTAAGATTTAGTAAGCAAGCTACAATCCAATTCAGTTGAGGCAGAGCCAGGACACTCAATGCAAATGGAGAGATGAATAAAACATTCAGTCTGTTTCTCCTACTCTGTATGTACTGTGCAAATAGCAAAACTTATAACATTGACTGTCAGGATAGAGGTGAAGCACTCCGTTCCAGGATAGAAGTATGTATTTTTTATTCTTTGTTTTAGACTTCAAACACATATTATTAAAAATCATGGGAAGTGACAGTTACCCATTGCACACAGCTGTCCGTTTCATATGGTCTGATTATGACTTGCATGGTTATTTACGAAGGTGTGAATTCACGGTGAACTCAGAAAGTGAATTTCAAATTGATGGTCAACGTAGCCAAACTGGAAAAACTCCAGCAACTCTGAACTTTGAAATTGGTTTTGCATTCACTTAGTAAATAAGCCTGTTAATCTTAACTGGTTCCATTATTTATTTATTTATTTATTTATTTTTAAAAAAATTTTTTAGCAGAAGGTATGTCCCAACCATCACATGTTCTGGAATGGGTTCTCTGCCCTACAAGCTCAATTCTCAACAGCATCTACATTGCTTTATCTCCTGCAGTGTTTCTCCCATCAATGGTTACCTTTGTGTAGACCTTAACTAATGAAGACTACAAACACTTGCATATATCTTTTTTTGTGCTCATAAGTCATCTGAAGATTTAATTCTGCAAACATACTCTTCATTCCTAGAATCTAGTGTAACTTAGTATAATTCAGAGGTTAGAGGCCTTGCATCAACCAAACCGCCCGACAGGGAAAACAAAAAAGAGAAACTTTATTTTCACTAAGCACCTATTTAAAGTTACATACAAGGTCTCCAATTTTCCAGAAAACAAGATAAGATACCAAGCCTAGGTGTATGTTTGCTATTCTGTACATAGTTTCCAGGAGCGCAAAACTGCAGAATGGCAGTGAATTGAAAAACAAAATTGCTAAATTTAGGCATAAACTGCCAAACTGTGGCTATAGCTGAATTGGCAAAATATTTCCAAATCACTTTATTTTTTTTAATTTTTTTTTTAAATTTAAACTAACACTATAGTGTCAGGAATACAAACATGCATTTCTAATGCTATAGTGTTCAGCTTTTTTTTTCTCCCTGCCTCCTCAGATTGCTTTGCAAAGGTTTTAAACATATCTTTTCTCCCACACTGCTCCGGTCTCGATGTGTCTGGCGTTGTCTTTATTATCTCAGCCATGCCACGCTGTGCCAATCTGTATCTCCTCATAGAGATGCATTGAATCATACAGATGCTGAATGCTAGTGCTGCTCACTGTGCAGAACTGGGCTAGAAGTACCCCTAGTGGCCATCTGAGTGATTGCCAATTGAGGTGTTTGTAGACAGCAATGTAAACACTACCTTTTTCCTGAAAAGGCAGTATTTACATTGAAAAGCCCACAGGGGCAGACTGTAGACACCACAACCACTACATTAAGCTCTAGTGTTTCTGGTGACTATAGTATCCCTTTAATAATTTGGTTTTCAATTACCTACGGTTTAGTGTCCAGTGAATAAACCTGTATGTGTTCCCATACAGAAAAAAACAAAACATTTCCCTCCAGTGCCTTCTAGAATACCTATTAAACAAGGGCTAACTAAACTACCCCACAAATTCTAGAATGGCATTCTCATAATCATAGAAATGGCTTGCCCAACTGTTTCAGAACTTGTTTGTTTTTGTTTTTTAGGGATTATAGGAATTGTAGTGCATTAGTTGGCAGCAATTCCTGGAGAGGAGGCATGCTGCCACTGGTCTTGTTTGGTACCAGCATGCTTTGCACAGATATCGCATAGCCAGCCCTCTTGTTTTGGACTAACGATGCTGCATTGCGTGTCATAGTGAAACAGTGCACATTCAGACTTTAGGAACCATGACTACTTCATATCAGTGGTCCTAGTTTTTGGAGTATCATTTTAACCTCTTAAGGACACATGATATTTGTGACATGTCATGATTCCCTTTTATTCCAGAAGTTTGGTCCTAAAGGGGTTAAAGGACCACTATAGTGCCAGGAAAACATACTCGTTTTCCTGGCTCTATAGGGTACTTGGGTCCCCCTCACCCTCTGGGTCCCCCTCCCCGCCGGGCTCTAGGGGGAGGAATTCCTAACTTTTTTTCCAGTGCCGGGCTCCCTCGGTGCTGGGGACTCTCCTCCTCCTTTCCCGTCATCGGTTGAATGCGCATCGGCTGAAAGCATTCTCAATGCTTTCCTATGGACGCTGGCGTCTCGGTGAGAAGCGTGGAAGCGCCTCTAGCGGCTGTCAATGAGACAGCCACTAGAGGCTGGATTAACCCTAAAGTAAACATAGCAGTTTCTCTGAAACTGCTATGTTTACAGCAGAAAGGGTTAATCTTAGAGGGACCTGGCACCCAGACCACTTAATTAAGCTGAGACGCAGCTCTCTTCATATAAAGCTATGAAGTAGTCTACTAGTTTAGGCGTGTACTTGTATAACTAGTCCACATCATACAAGTACTTAAAGAGCACAGAGGGAAACCATTCCCTTTAAAGTGAACATGTAATGAAAAAAATATTGCTTACCAAAAATGGCTTACCTTAAATCGCTCCCATATACTTTGACTATCCCATATATTGCAAAGATACATGGTGTATTTATTGTAAAATATGGAGATTTATTAAAAGTGCCTTATATATCCCTACAAAAAAGATGGTATATTCTAGATCAGAGGTTCCCAACCTGTGGTATGTGTACCAGTTTGGTGCCCCTGGGAGTACGCAAAAAAAAATATCTGTAATGGCAGGGCTGAGAACCGCAGGGTGAGTGGGTCCATCGGGTGGCTTATGTACTTAGGGCCACGCGATGTACATGTGGCACGAGTGGCCCGGTTGTGTGCTGCGGTGCTTTAAAGCGCGACCAGACCACTCCAAACCTGCAGGGAGAGCTGGGAAAAAGAGAGAGAGAAGAGAGCAGGTCACTTCCTCCCAGCTAGCACAGATACAGCCACGCAGGAGGAAGCCAGACCGGGAGAGGAGCAAGCCCTCAACAGCCCCCTCAACATGTGTATCGGCATCTGTATCTATGTAGCAGCATGTTTGTCAGTATGTGTATCAGTGTGTCTGTGCAACTGTATATGTGTCTGTGCATTGCATGTGTGTCAGTTTTTGTGTCTCTCTGTGTATGTGTTTGTTTATCTACATGTTTGTAACTGTGTCTATATGTGTCAGTGTTTGTATCTGTGTGTCTGTATATGCATGTGTGTATTGGCATATCTGTATTTGTGTGCGTTAGGGATCGACCGATTATCGGTTTGACGATATTATCGGCTGATATTCCGGGTTTTTTAAAATATCGGTATCGGCCAAAATCTTACCGATAATGCCAATAATGAGGTGGTCCAGCGGGTGACCAATTAGTCCTCTCTCCAAGTCTCGCGATTCCCGAGGCCCTGGCCTTCAAAGCATTCCCGCCGGTTACCGTGACAACGTTCCGTGCGGCAAAACCAGGCGCTTAAATTGTGAGATTGTTAGAGAGAAGCTGAAGTAGTGCTGTCCTCCTTCTACCTCCTATTTGTGCCATGTTGCATCAGAGCTTGTTGAGAAGGCCCCTTAAGGTGCTCCCCGTCACTGGCTTGTGCCCAGCATTCGTGAGAGGTGGGGGATTATGCCCTTTCACCATCTGCCTGTCTGCAGTCTCTGCTTCTGAGAGGGAGTGCTCACTGGAGGATCTAGAAGACACAGCAGGTGAAGCCATGACAGGGAGCTGCGAAAGGTAGTAATGCCACAAGCTAGAAGTTGTTAAGCATGCTAATAACATAATATTCCCTTAGTAATATTATAAAAGCTCACAAGATATAAAAAGGTTATGACTCTCTTTAAAAGCCTTCAAGCTATTTGAGCCCCAAAAAATGCCCTCACTAAACAAACTAGACCACCAGACACCAGTAGTATTAATTGTTTATATTTTCAAAATGGTAAATGTACAGAATATCGTTATCGGCTATCGGTCTGTAAATTCACAGATTAGCGGTATCGGCTCTAAAAAGATCAATATCGGTCGATCCCTATTGTGAGTGTCAGTGTTTGTATCTGTGTGTCTGTACATTTGCATGTGTGTCAGTATTTGTATCAGTGTCTGTGTGGTTTTGTGTGTTTGTATTTGTCAGTGTTTTGTGTCTGTTTCTGGGTATCTGCATGTCTGTATCTGTATACCTGTGTCAGTGTTTGTGTCTGTGCATGTGTATCCGTGTTTATTTTTGTGTCAGTATTTGTATCTGTGTTTCTGTGCACCAACATATGTGTCAATGCCTGTATCTCTGTGTGTGTGTCAGTATTTGTATCTGTGTATCTGCATGTGTGTCAGTGTGTCAGTTTGCACTAAAGGAAGCAGGGGAAGCCTGGGGCAAAGGAGGAGCTTGGAAGTCTGGGGCAGAGGAGAAGCAAGGATGCTTGGTACAGAAAAGAAGGTGTGATGGGGAAAGAGAAAAACTTATAAATGTGAAATAACTGCAACCATATTAATAACAAACATTTCACTAATATGAGTGGTACAATTTATGGAAATGGGCTGCCAAGGGGTACTCAAGTTAAAAAAATGTTGGGAACCACTGTTCTAGATTATAAGAAAAATCACATTTCACAACACACTACATCTAAACAAACTTTTGAGAAACACAAAAAAATAAATATCTAATCAATGTGCAAATGAATTACATGGAAACTGAATGAGAGAGTTACCATGATATAAAATCAAATATTTACATTAAAGTCAAATTTGTGTATATATTTGGATAAGTGTCAAAGTCTTATTACAAATATATTTTGACACTTATTCCAATGACACTATATATTTCAAACAATCCTAAAATGTACAATACAACATTTGCGTAATTGTCCTCATACATTTAATAATCTAGTTGGCTTCAAAGAGGGGGGAAAAAGAAAGTATCTTGTATGTCTCTTTGCAAGATATCCACACTGTGACTAATTAATGGATACTAAGAGGGTAGCAACGTGATGTTTAATATCCCCAGAGTAAAGTCTCACAATAGGAAAGGTTGTTTTTTTTTGTTTTTTAAATGTAACAAATGTACCTTTTGCACCATATTGTTATTCTATGAGCATAGATCAATATGTTGCTTCGATTGTCTCTTACTCTTTTATAATACATTTTTAGTACTATGTAAGTCACAGTGGATTTTTGTTAGCATATGAATTAATAATTATGATAATTTAGTGGTGCATTAATTATGCAAATGATACATCTCATGGCTCTTTTGTTCACATAAAGAGGATGTAGAGTGAGAATTGGGTTCACTTAGTGCTACCATTTACACCATTAGATTGTTCTAATCTGGTATGCAACTGTGTAACATATTTCTGATTCATTATTCCCTGTCTGTATGTTAGAGCCCTGAAAATGTAAGTAAGATGTCACTTTTCATTACGTTTCAGTTATTATTGTGTACACAATTTTTTTTATTGTGTACACATAACATTTTTTCTAATTTTAAAACAAGGTTTGCCTTCATTAGGAGGGTGGCCTTGGTTTCTCTCTGTGGTGTTGGCTGATACACGCAAGCCACGTTTGTTCTGCTTGAACCCAAGTTAAGAAAGTAAATGATTACAAATGAGGTATAAATAATGCTCAAGGCTAATGTGCATGTATTTCAGGGAAACATGATTATCTTTCAAAGAAAAAACCCAAAACATCTGCTTTTCAGTTTGCTTTATTTGCCCTCAAAATGTGATCCAATTAGAAAGTGCATTTTTTGCTGTTATTGGTTTATCTAAATCTAAAGGGGTATCCAGAAGTAGACCCCAAGGTCGGTGAATTGGGGATTGAAGGATAGAGAATAACTATCATAACTGCTAAAAAAAAAGTCTATGCAAAGCTTAAATGCCCATTTTATCTTGATTTCTGCCTCTCATCGACTCATTAATTGCTATAGGTTTTTATTACAAACTGATGTAGATATTTTGGCTGTCTCCTCACAACCCACTGAATTATGGAGTAGGTACTTAGACCCGGAGATGGCCTCTTTGGCAAAGACCTCTGAGATCATGGCATTCTAATATACCTTGGACACATAATGACTACACCAAGGCTGTCTGACTGTCCCTAGAAATGTATATCTCTAGCATCCCTTATCAAGGCTTTATCGAAAAATACCTGGATGCAGAAATGTGATTAGATCCACACATGTTAATGCTGCTGCAATGGCAACTTCACAACGGTTACCAACTTGTAATTGTTAATCTACAAGAAGCTTTGTTATGTAGGTGTTTTGAAAATACACCTCTAGACAGTTACCATTTCTTTCTCTGTAGAAAGAATAAGTATATTTTCTTTCTTTCTCTAAATTAACTTCTGATGGATGCATTGCAGGTTCAGATGCAAAACTGATCACAGGAAAGTATCCTTCTATAACCGGGTGTTAGCATGTAGTCCAATAGGTATAAAATTGTGACAGGAGATTAGCTGGGCCAGATTGGCCCAGATTGACATGCCAGTTGGTAAAAATACATAAACTTGTGTTAACTTGTTTTCATGGATTCACCATTTTCTTTTATATTTTATTTTAAAGGTACACTGTAGTGTTGGGGATACAAACATATTTCTAACACTATACCTATTAGGATCCATGGCCCCTCTCATAGTGGATAAATAAGATTTTTAAACTTACCTTTTTTCTATCGCCGTGCCAGTGTTACGGTGTCTTGTCCCGCCTCTTGATGATCTCAGCCAATCCAATGCTTTACCATAAGAAAAGCATTGGGAAGCTATTGCGCATTTGCGGCAAAATGTCGCACAGCGCCAATCTCCTTCTAGAGATTAAATCAATACATCTCTATGGGGCACGTTCAGCGTCTCCATGTAGAGCGCGGGGACGTTGTACATGGGTTCTGCACATTGTGCAGCCCTTGACAAGGAAGCACCTCTAGTGGCTGTCTGAGTGACTACAAATAGAGGTGTTACTAAGCAGCAATGTAAACTCTTCCTTTTCTCAGAAAAAGTAGCATTTACATTGCTTAGTCTATAGGGACAGACAATAGATACTAGATCCATTACATTTATTTAATTAACTTATAATCTTGTTCATACAAGACAGGCCAGAGCAAAATTGCAAATGAGAAGGTGACATTGAAACATGTTTATATTTCTCTTCTTTTCTGTATGCTCTTTTTGGCTGCCAGATACAAAGGACAGAATTTAACCGTGACTTAAAGGACCACTATAGTGCCAGGAAAACATACTCGTTTTCCTGGCACTATAGTGCCCTGAGGGTGCTCCCGCCGGGCTGGATGGCGAGGAAAGGGTTAAATTTTACCTTTTTTCCAGCGCCGGGCGGGGAACCCTCCTCCTCCTCTCCGCCTCTTCTCCTCCTCTTCGGCTGAATGCGCATTTAGAGGCTGGATTAACCCTAATATAAACATAGCAGTTTCTCTGAAACTGCTATGTTTATTAAAAAAAAAAAAAAGGGTTAATCCTAGAGGGACCTGGCACCCAGGCCACTTCATTAAGCTGAAGTGGTCTGGGTGCCTAGAGTGGTCCTTTAAAGGGAGCTAAGATAGAGGTGCCCGTTTTTATGATAAAGAGGTGTTGATATCTACATTTAATGTAATTTTTCAGGCTTCATATGTGCACATTTGTTAAATATGTGCATAAGTTACCATATTCCAATTGGAATTTCACAGTCACATATTTAACGTTTTTTGATTCACTCTGCAAATTGTCTTGATAAGTCTCAATAGACTGAAACGTTGACTTATCCTTTGTATCACTGTATTTGCTTAATAAAGCAACAGTAAGATGTATATCAAAAAAGACTTCAGGGTGCTCTCTATTTGGACAATTTATATAAAATTATTTAGTTTTGTTGAAATCTATAAATATATTATGATCATTTTATGAATAGCCATTATAACTACTGCTTTGCCTTTTCTCAGTCATATTTAAATAATGACTTCACTGTTGTTTGTCTACTGTGCTCCAACTGTCAGGATATTTAACTGAAAAATTGGGTTTGTATACCATTTACTTTAGGATCATATTTTTGCACAGTTTTTTTTCCTCTCCTCTTTTCTCTTCATTGGTCATGCATACATGTGACCACACATGTCTCTATGGAGAATGAGAATGAGTAACGGCAGGTGTTCCAACTGAAGCATTCACCTCTCAGTTCGTTTTTGCATAATTATATACCGTAACTCAGTTAAAAATGCACCCTGCTGAAAAAGGATATGTACAGTATAGTGGATGAAAATGAGAAGAGATCGGCCACGTTTCAGACACTTTTTTTTTCCCAATCTTTTTTTAATTACGGTAAATTTTTATAGCAATATTAATAGACAGAACAACATCTGGGGGTAGGAACCATACAAAAAAATAAGGACTCCTATCCCCAATAGACATACATAGGTATATTGACCTATTTCAAATTACAGCAGAGATAAGCCTTCTGGTACAAATTGATATACTAACAATAATATCCCAAAAAGGGAATATCAAGGTCCAAGAGCGGCCTTAAAAACCTATATAAATAAGACAAACCATAACAAAAACAAACTGGTCAAATATATTGCAGAGATATAGAAGATCAAAAAATTCCAATATTACATTAGCTAATATCAGATATGTGGCTAAGGAACCCGTATGATAGTGCCCGCTACGGTATTATCGGTAAGGCATCAGGTGGTCATAAAAAGTAACCCCACCGCCTCAAACTCATTAAAGCCCTTTAATTTTCTCAACAAGACTGGAATAAAACATCAAAATATTAAGATTGGAATATTCTCTCATATGAATCAACCCCTTTTCCATCTCAACTTGATATAAGAGTTGGGCTTTAACTTGATCTCTAGTAGGAATGTCAATGCTTTTCCAAAATCTAGCAATTAATATTTTGGTAGCCATTAAGCAATGTATAATCACAATATCGAGATTATCTTTTATTTCTAAGCCCATAAAATGGAGTAGGGCAATTTCCGGTTTATGTTCCAGATGTATACCTCCAATTCTATATATAAATTCAAATGTAATATTCCAGAGAGACTTAATTCGATGGTAGGTCCACCATATATGAAACATAGAACCATCTGGGTGTAGACACCGCCAACAATTAGATAGATTAGTAAAATAGATATTTTAGCAAGTCTAGTCGGTACCAAGTACCATCTATACAATATTTTAGTGAAAGTCTCTAGAATATTCAGACAATGAATGTTTTTTTTTTTTTAGTCCTCATAAAGGATTTACACCAATTATTAAATGGAATAGGTATTGCTAGGTCAGTTTTCCATTTGGTTAAAGCTTTGGGGATAAATGGAGTCCCCTTAGTTTTTATTAGTTCTACTGCAATAGAGAATATCTTTTTAACCTTAAACGTTTCCTAAACAATTTTCCAAAACGGCCGTCTAGTACTAATATGTTATCTTTTAAATAGCTCTTAATACGAAGAAAATTAAATAATTCTCTAGAGGGTAATTCTAACCAGTTTTTTAGAACTTCAACGCTTTTCAATTGGTGATCATTATAAAGATCTTTTATCTTATAATTAGGATCTTTAAACCAGTTTGTCAGATTTATCTCTAGCATAAAACATTCTAACGACCTTAGACTGAGGTTCTCATATAGTTTTTTTTTATTAATATTCAACTTCTTCTTTATATTAGTCCATTCTTTTAATGTCTGTGATAGAGATAAGGGAAAATGAGAACTAATCTCACACAAATGCTTATTCTGACTTGCCTCTCTCCATAAGAGGAATTCAAGATTATCTAAACCAACTCTGGCTGCCTCAATTTTATACCAAGCTTGGTCTATAGAATCACTTAGTTGTAGATTACTGGCGTGAACAAGCATATTAGCCTGAGAGATTTGATTAACTAGGGGGTAACCCAACCCCCCCGGTGGGCCTTCCTTTATAAAGTATATGTACTAATTCTTGGTCTCTTCCCTCTCCAAACATAAGCTGTAATGCTGTTTTGCAGCATATTGAACCAATAGCTTGAAATCGAGAGAGGGAGCATACCGAATAGGTATGCCCATTTACGAATTATATAGGCTTTGATGGTATTAATCCTTCCCCACCAGGAGATTTCATGCACTCTCCATTCTTTTAATAACATATTAGTCTCTTTTAACAATTTTCAAAAAATTAATTTCCATAGTCCGTCTTATATCTGCAGTTATAATCACCCCTAAATATATAAACTCTTTTTTTTGTCCCCGCGCTTACTCGGCGCGGGTCGGGCCGCAACACATGGCGGCGGGCACTTGGTCGCAGGGCTGCGACCGCGGTATGCTGCACACACACCTAAAGGACCGCTACAGACACCCAGATCACATCAGCTCAATGAAGTGGTCTGGGTGCCAGGTGTCACGGTTCTCGCCGCAGCAAACAGACGGCCAGACGTGGTCACCCATGGAGTTCCCAACAAGTGACTTGAACCGGGCAACTTCGCAGTCCTGGTCCTGCTTCCTTCCTCTGAGCCACAGCAGCTTTTGTATTCCACATGTCATTCTGGTCCTGTTCATCCTGGCATGTCTTTTACTCTGGGGGCTGTACATTGACTTTGGATGTGCTTCACCTGACCCTGATCAGACATTAGCAGGGTATTTAAACTCCGCCTCGCCCTGTGATCAGGATCAAGTCTTTGATCCTGTTGTGTGCTTTGTACCAGTGTTCCTGTCGTTTGAGCTGCTACTTGTTATTGACCCTGGCTTCTGACTACGTTTACTCTGACCTCTGGCATCCCTTGACTTCGGCTACTCCTCGTTGTTCCTGTCTTCTGGCATCCTTTGACCTCGGCTATCCTTTGACTATCCTGCTGTTTGAGTCCTTGCCTGTCCTGCGACTTGGTACTTCATCCTGCACAGCCCCCGTGCACAGACCCACAGGCCGGGTGAATTCTTACCTGACCACCTTGGCCTGTGGCTATCTGCAAGGGTGAGCAACATATCTGCGCTACAGACTCCCAACCCAGGTAAGACCCTGACACCAGGTCCCTCTAGTTTTAACCCTGCAGCTGAAAACTTAGCGGTTTCAGAGAAATGGCTATGTTTCACTGAGGGTTAATCCAGCCTCTGGTGGCTGTCTCATTGACAGCCGCTAGAGGAGATTCCGCGATTCTCACTGTGAAAATCACAGTGAGAAGACACTGAATGTACATAGGAAAGCATTCAGTAATGCTTTCCTATGGGCGGTTTAAATGCGTGCACGCGTTTCTTGCCGCGCATGTGCATTCGGAGCTGAGAGGCGGAGGTATCCCCAGCGCCAAGGAAGTCCGGCGCTGGAGAAAGGTAAATGCTGAAGACACACACTCTCACGAATAGACGCATACACACTAGCTAACAGACACACACATTTACTGACAGAGACATACATACACACTCACTTACAAAACATACACTTTCACTGACAAACACACACTCACTAACAGACATCAGACACACCCAGTAACAGAGACACCCAGTAACAGAGACACCCAGTAACAGAGACACCCAGTAACAGAGACACCCAATAACAGACACACTAACACACCCACACACTCACTAACACACACACACACTAACAATAACACACATTAACACATGTTTTTTTTTTTTAAATTCCTTACCTGGGGTCCAGTGGTGGTGCTGCTGGGCTCCTGGGCGGGCGGGCTGTCTTGCTGGCCGGCCGGCGCGCGAGGGAGCACTTTCCCCTGTGTGCTTCCTCTTCCGCTCCCTTGCGCGCCGCGTAGGAATGCCGGTATCAGTGCGGTGCGCGAGGGAGCGGAAGAGGAAGCACTCAGGGGAAAGTGCTCCCTTGCGCGCCGGCCACCCAGACAGCCAGCCCGCCGGGGTCAGCAGGGCCAGCCTCGGGGGGCCCTAAAGTGGCCGGCTCCTGGGCCCCCCAGGGGAAGAGGCCCAGTAGTTACATACCGGGTCACAAGGGCGGTCGGGTCCCCTGGTGGGCCGGTCCTGGTCGCAGCCGCGACCCCTGCGACCCTGGTATGTATGCCACTGGATAAGACATATAATAAAGGCGAGAGAGGACACCCCTGTCTCGTCCCATTATTAATATAGAACCAATCTGGGCTACTATACGGGCAGAGGCATTCGAATATATGGCTCCCACCGCATTCATAAACCACCCTTCAAAACCGAACTGTAACAAAGTTCTCTTCAGATACCCCCATCCGACCCTGTCGAAAGCTTTTTCTGCGTCCACCGACAGGGTCAGAAGGGGGTTCCCTCAACCTGAGCCCATTCTATAATGTCCAGAGCCCTGCGGTTGTTATTTGAGGAGTGCCTTCCCTACATAAAACCTATCTGGTCCCTATGTATAAGTGATGGCAAAACTATTTTCAAACGTTCCGCTAAAATTGCGGCATAAAGTTTAATATCCACATTAACCAGAGAAATAGGACGATAGTTACTCACATCATCTGGGCTTTTGCCCTGTTTCAAAATTGGAGTAATATGTGCCCTTAATAAATCTTGAGATGCATTCCCTTTTGATTGCCATTTCGTTAAAGGTATCAGTTAACAACGGAAGTAATTGTCTTTTAAAAACCTTAAAAAACAAATTCGTATACCCATCCGGTCCAGGAGCTTTACTATTAACAAGCTTATCAATTGCTATCTCACCTTCACGTTGAGATATATGTCTATTAAGCTTCACCATCCGGTCATTAGATAATTTGGATAGATTAGAATTTTTCAAATAATTGTCCAACAAGCTTGGGTCAGGAGATTTATTCAGGTTATATAGATTTTGATAAAAAGCTCTAAATTTACTGGCAATTTCTTCTGATATAATTAATTCCATCTCTTAATTTAGAGATCTTATGGTCAGTCATCTTTTTCTTTAGTTTATTTGTTAAGACTGAGTCTACCCGATTATTCTTATAATAATATTTAACTTATTTAAATTACGTTCTACCCTATTCTTAATCTGATCATTTATCTTTTCTTGGTAGACTTTAATAGCTAAGGCTCTCTCTTCAGAGTAGGATTGCTTATTCGCTTTAGAAAGATTATAAAATTGAATATAGAGATCGGACAAAATATTGTCTATATTCCTTTTTTGGTAACGTGCAAGTTTTATCCAATATCCTCTAATGACTACTTTACAGGAGGACCATAAACATTCTTTAGATAAATCTTTGCAGACTCACTTTGCCAATTTATATTTTAAAATCGCCATCTACGTTTCGTGTATTTTTAAGAACTTTGTGGTGGTAGACTTTACTAATTCCTCTTGTCTTTTCCACGTCTGCTCCTCATTCTGTAAAATACAATTTAGGTATTCTGTATGTATAGATTTTTTTTTTGTTTGTTTACATCTTCATTACTGGAGATATTTTGAGTGCCCTTTTAAACACCAACATATTTTTGGAAAGGACTGTTTCTGAATAGATCATAATTCATATCCAAGATTATGATTTGTCAGTGTGTGTGAAGTGGAGTGCTGGATAGCAAAGATTCTACCAACAGTTTTGCTAGAATCTGGAACCCATGTTTTGGGGGCAAGTGACTTAACTGTTTTATTTCTTGAATGTATATGTTCCAATTTTTTCTTCTTTCTCATCTGCTCCTTAATCTTTATATTCCATTCCCTTTCCAAATTTTTGCCTAATTACATCATCAATTTGTCTGATTAAAGGGACAGTATAGTCACCATATATCTCTACATTTCTGCCCAGGTTTAGTGTGGAGGCATGTTTAAAGGACAACTGCAACCTCAAAGCAATTTTTTATACAATAGTCCATTCATCAAAATTTAAAAAAAAGAAATGTATATTTTTATATATATATATATATATATATATATATATATATATATATTTAAATTAGTTATATGTAAAAAAAATACTCATCCTTACCTTTAGTATATGATGGAATCCTTCGGCCATACACATGCACCTTGGGTCAGACACTGTTTGAATTCCGACAGTCTCTATGGTCTAACCCACTTCACGCCCTACAGATAGAGGGGAGATCAGAGAGAACTGTCTGTTCTAAAACACTGTTTGACCCAAAGTGCACCTATATGGCTTTAAAATTCATATACTAAAGGTATGGATGGATTTTTCTCTCTCTCTCTCTCTCTTTTTTTTCTTTTTTTGTTTTTTTTTTAATATTCTTGAGGTGACATTTTGTCTTTTGATTCAAAGTTCGACTCATCATGTGCTAACGTGGTGAACCCGCTGAACCTACGTTTAACACAGTTAAGGTATCGGATTACTTATTTGTCTCAAAACACATGGCAGGTCGCACCCTTCACCATCCTGTTAATTGTAGTATTTTGTAATAATAATAATAATCTCTGCATGTGACTTTGTTGGCAGGAGTGACAATTATATTTGCTTGGCAAGAGTTATATCCTAGAATTCACTTGTAAAATAGTAACACGTATTGATACATTGGATGTTTCTAGAAACCTGAATATTATAAAGTTGTGATTACAGAACTACCCTTAAAGCGGCACTGTTACTGTCTGTGGACTTTGCAGAATCTGCAGAAAAGACCCCCTTTATCCCCACCCGATAATGGCATCGACACTTGGGGTACAGTGGACTGGGGTGCTACAATCTTCCTCTTCAGCTCCAGGTGCTACGCGCATGTGCAAGAGTACAACATTGAGGTCTATGGAAGATCCTGCAAGACCTCCATAGATAAAGCCAATTTCCTGCAGCCGTCAATGGGGACAACTGGGGGGAATTGACACTTTTAGACGGCTGTAGATCCGACCAGTGTCTCGAAGTGTCAGGGCGTAAGCAATATACAAAGACACAGTAACCCCTATCTTGTCTCAGTATATCTCTTGACTGAATTGGGATTTTTTTGAGGGGGTGGGATGACCGTGACGCTTTAAACTGTTTTGACTCGAGTGGATTAATCCTATAGTTGCTATATACACGTGAGCAATGTACGTTATTGTATTTTACATGCTGGGCATGCATAAATAAAATGCGTCAGGTTCAGACTTAAAACATTTAAAGAATATGGTTTGATTGGTTTTAAATTATACCAGTCATTCAGAAATATCATGGTGTCACTTTATAGGTACCACAATCTATTATATACCTTATTTGTATTATTGATAGCTGTTTGATAAAGTATTTAAATAGTATTTAAATTTTAAAGAGAGTATTTTCAATTTACTTATATGCTAAGTAAAGCCAACCAAAGTTTGATGGTTGACCTAGGATGTTTACTATATTAAACACATTCTCTGGGTTTTCTGTCCACCTCCTGTACTTACTTATGCATATTCAAAACCTGTCCACTGCCCTCCAGTGATTAGATTATGTAAGAAAAATCATTGATCAGCTTCTTGATCCAAGGAGAGATCTGGCTGCCATTCTGGGGTCTAGAAGGATTTTTTTGTTTTCCTAGTTTATCGCAAAATTGTGCTTCAAACCGGGGTTATTGCCTTTTTGATCAGCAGCAAAAACAGATGTGAGAGAGGCTGAACTTGATAGCAGTTGATGTTTTCTTCTCCAGCCACGTAACTCTGTAACTATGGTTTTTGAGGTGCCTGTAATGTTTTACTATTGTATTGATGGTTTCGATGTATTGGAGAACTAAAGAAAAAGTCACAGTCTGTGCTGTGTAAGTCACAGCAAGAGGAAGTGAGGCTGGGGCTGCCTGGACCGATACAAAATTGATTTAGATCGTAAGTGGCAGAGAACTGAGCTTTTAGACTGCAGGGGCATGATCTATACACCAAAACTGCTTTGTTAAAGGATCACTATAGTGTCAGGAAACCAAACTCGTTTTCCTGACACTATGTCATCCTTTGGGGACCCTCACTCTCAGGGTCCCCCTCCTGCTGGGCTGAAGGGGTTAAAATCCCTTCAGCAGTTTACCTTATTCCGGCGCTGGTGACCTCTCCTCCCCCGCCGATGTCAGCTCTCAATGCTTTCCTATGGATGTTCTGCACGTTGGATGCAGAAGGGCCTGTAGCAGCTGTCAGGAAGACAGCCACTACAGGTTGGATTAACCCTTCTCTGAAACTGCTATGTTTACATGTGAAGGGTTAAAATCTGAGGTACTTGGCACCCAGACCACTTCATTGAGCTGAAGTGGTCTGGGTGACTATAGTGTCCCTTTAAGCTAAAGTGTTTTTTTTGTTGTTTTTTTTTGAGACTATAGTGTCCATTAATAGTTGTACCCTAGAATGAGTCATAAGCACTTACTGTGTAAATAGAAAGAGCAGATTGGATACTTTCCTCCCTATATTCACATCTCCAATATATCATATATCGTCTGATAACTGCTCTGCTTAGGCTGGTTCATAGATCGTCCTTTCCCTTTTGGACTGGCTACAAAGAGGATGAGATTTGGTTAAAAGTTTGGGGAGTGAAGTCAGCAGATTTAAATGACCCTGTGTAACCAGTTTCCTGGGATTAGTATGCTTTTCCTGAAACCTAATAAAGTAATGTTGTGATCCAGATTTTTATATCTTTATAAATATGTCTGTAATGGGATACCGTAGAGTAATAAGTACGATTGTAAATTGGAACCTTGATAACAGTACACCAATGTTTTATGCAAACATTCTCTGAAAATGACCATGCTCTCAATACATGAACACTAACAAACATGCACTCAGGAATGTAGGGTGACTTCATTTGCAGCAGTGAGTGAATGCAAGTCCTCTTCTCAAAACAATGCTTCTCAGGATGTAAAACAAAAGACAGGGAAAGAGATAAGTAAGTAGTTGATTCTTATCTACTGGCATAACTTGTACAAACCAGCAATCCGTTTTATTGCAGTATGTACTTCTTTCTCTTGTCTAATGGACGTGATGCAGCAAAGATCACTGCCTGAAATAAGGCAGGCAGTATAAAGCAAGGACATTAATGATTTTTTTAAATTTTTTTTTAAATGGGATTGTATAATAATTACAATAGTTTAAGAAGCCACTTCAGTGGCTCGTGATTTTTATTTTATTTTTATTTTTTAATGGCATCCTTAAAGGAGTGTTCGTCCATTTTTATTACTTTTTGAATACAACTTCCATTACCTGATCCGAGTTATCATTGGAAAAATAACTGGACAGGAGAATAATTATTAATCCATTGTTTTCCTGCCAGTTTTCTGGAAACTAACTTGTGTATATTGGCTGAATGCAGACTGATTTTTGCCAATTTGATTGATTTGTCATTTGATATGGTTCAGAATGTAAAGGAGTTAAATAACACATGAATGCATTGAGAAGTACAGAGGTTGTCCTTTAATTTAAAGCTTTGCCCATTGGATCAGGCTATGCATGGTTTAGGGGAGAGAGCATTTTAATCATGAATAGTTGGATTGAAGCACCTTGGAAAAAGTGAGAAAAAAAATGAGCTCATTACTTTTATCTCTATTAACAAACTTTACCGTTGACTGTTTTCATGCCCCATGCTTCTCTTAAAGGAGCATTATTGGGTCAAGAACCCTCATGTGTATTTCTGACCGTATAGTGTTAAAATTGCTTCTGGCCCCCCCTTGCCTCCTTAAATGTAACCTTATTTCCAGTGCCGGCACTGGCTCAGATTATTGGCTGACAGAATTGATGATCTCAGTCAATCACAATGATTTCCCATAGGAAAATGGATTGGCTGAGATTGCAACTTATGACAATCTTAGCCAAGGGAGCGAGGGTGGAGCTAAACGCTGTGCTGGCCAGTCAGCATCTCCTCATAGAGATGCAAAAAATCAATGCTATGGGGGAAGTTTAGCATGTACATTAAGCTGTTGTTGTTCTGGTGACTACAGTGTCCCATTAAGTCTTTATCCAATTCTAATCTTCACCTAAAATTCCTGTTTGTTCCTATCTGAATTCTTCAGTGCCGGGTGAATGATTTCCTTGATAAGTTTTTTCCACAGCCAGATGATCTGCAATCAAACAGACCACCACGTACACAAACCGTATGGATTCTGTGTACAGGATGTGTGTGATCTTTGGGATAATTTCCAGAGGAAGTCTGTTCACCCCAAATTAATATCGTCCATTACATGGAGCACTGGGAGTGGAAAGTTTTAAATCATTATTATGCTTAAATAAGCATTGGAATGAGAATATAGTTTGATAACTTTGTGCAAATGGAAGAAGATGATGACATTGTTTCCCTACCGTTCTGCACTTTGGGATGTAATCAGAATTAAAATAGGTCAGGGATGCTGGCGTACTCCTGGAGGTTTGAAATGGCAGTAGCAAGCTTTTTATGCCAGCTCAGAATTCAAAACAAGAATTGCTAAGGGCAGGGAGCGAAGGTGTTGCCTCAGTAACGGGGGAATATGTCATAATAATAATAAAAATCCAAGAAACAGAGAAGTTTCAGTGGAAATCTACAATGACCACGGAATCCGGACAGGATGTTTGTAGCTCAAAATATTTGTCAAGGTTTCAAAGGAGTCTTTTCCATGGCTGCTGTTTTACAGCGGATCTATTCATCTAGGCCAAGTCAACAAATCTATGATTTGTATCCCTAAGACCTTTACTGCTCCACTTTCAACCAGTCTCCAAATATTTAAATTCTACATAGGTTGGATACATCCTTTACCTGTGTTTATAACGTGTCATGTACTCCACAATCGCATACACCTGCAACTACGAATAGGAAATCAACCCTACTGGAGTGCTTCATTGTTCCAAAGAGACACTAAACTTTAACTTTAATTAAAAAAAAAAAAAAAAACTTTTTAAAAAAAAATATTTAGTATTTAATACATACATGACTTCTCCACTGTCCAGATTTTATGGACAATTGAATTTTGAACCACTGGTGGTTGTTGAAGACTTGTTTGAGATGCTCTGCCCATTTTTCTTCTCAATCAGTGGGCTCTGCTTCAACGGACACTAAAGCTTAAAAAGCCACACTTTTTAAGGGTTTAAGATGTATAGGATGCAGTCCCACTGACGGATGTGGGTGAAGTCCTACTGTATTCAAATGATTTGACAAAAAATGAAGTATTCCAAACAATCAAATCCTGCACCCACTGCTTGCGACATTATAATGAGGAACTTTAATGGCTTCCTTATTTCCCAAAATATTTTTTTAGTAAGTGCAATTCAGTTGCACCTCTACTTGCCAGTGAATTAACACAGGCAAGGGATACACAGCTTCCGTATCCTCTATATGCCATCATTTCTATGATAAGATATATTTTTAAAGTAGAGTTGTAATTCTATTACTTTTTTAACATAGTTTTTATTAAAAAAAAATATTTTCTTATTTTTGTCGTGCAATAATTGAGAAATAAGCATGCATATATATATCCATAGTTTAAAATAAATCATGAGAGGTTGCAGTGTCAGTTCAGGATATACCAAGAGTATTGCACATGTTCTAAAAAGGAAAACACAATTAACACAATTGAGTCAGGGCAGAAATAATAGAAAAGATAAGATGCTCAGCTAGACAGACTGACTACACAGTATAGAATGCATGAGAATTAAACTACCAAGTATTGTAAATACAGAAAGGGGCAACGGAAGAAAAATTAAGGCATTTTCAGAAAAAGTGGGCAGCAGCCCTTCATATACAAATTACAAACTCGGTAAGTCAAGCTAAAAGGGAAACCGTTTATAAAAGAGTATTACGTTGGTATAAAACACACAACTCAATTTATATTTTCCAAATTTAGATAAGGAGTGTTGGAGGTGTGGACAGGAAACCGGCACCTATGAACATATTTGGTGGTTCTGCCCAAAAATTCAAGTATACTGGCAACAGGTCATTGACTATATAAAACAGGTATTACCCTTACCCTTTACTTTATCACCCTCTCAGATACTGTTGGGTTGGCCAAACTCCTTCTTAGATATTACGAAGCTGAAGCTTTTATGGTTCCTATTAAATGAAGAAAATGCCTTAATACCTACTCTTTGGAAAAAGACAATTATACCAACTATGGTTCAATGGGTAGATAGAGTCAAAAACACAAGAGTGATGGAAGAATTACATTGGTGAGCAAATAGTAAAAAACCACAAAGATATCTAAAAATATGGGAACCCTGGATTACTCACTGGAACTCTGGGAAAGGGAAGTAGGTGGGAGCACTAGGAGGAATTTATAAGCACCATAGCTGAACTAGGTTTAAGCATTGTATGAGCTTTCTTTTTTTTTTCATTTTGGTTTGGTTCTACAACAGTCATCCTCGATTTATGATCTAGAAATCTTGACTATTGACTTAGTTAAAGAGTAAGAATTGGACTAATCTATCAAGATATTAATTTACAGCTTAGACTATTATGTTGAGTTCATTATTTATTTATTTTTTGGTTAAGGAGATTATCATTTATAAGTAAAATGACAAGATAAGTGTAATATGTTATAAATGAACTCAAACTTTGCATTGTACTAGATTATAAAAATTGTATAAAACAATAAAAAAAAAGTATTGTAAATACTGAGCTCAGGTAGTAACCTTGACGTGTGTGGAGTGAAGGGGCACAAAATAGGCAACAGAAACCATGCTGCAGGTAGTAGCTAGGTAGAAACAAAAACATTTGTAATTACTTGGGTAATCGCTCAGACCAGATGGGCCCATGACAACAGTCCCCTAAGCCTGTGACGGCCTGGCTGAGTCCATACAGGTACAGTAGGGAATTCATGTTTCCTTTGATGCCGCAACATTCAGCATCACTGCAGCCCCAGGTGTTGTCAGGAACTATCTCCAAGCGTCCACAGGCTTCTCTCTTGTTCACTGGGAGAAAGCCTCTAAATCCCGGGTGGAGATGTGGTACCCCAGTGTGTGGACCATGGGCGTTTGCGTTAACCTTCTTGGTTCTCCACCTAGGTGGGGGGCGCCGAACCGGAGCTCTAACTGGAGGTTGTGCCTTAGGTGTGGGCAGCGTAGGTGGCTTTCACAGATCCTCCCAGCTGCTCCAGGACCGCTGGCACACGGCATCAAACTTCCACAGAAATTCTGCTTCCCAGTTTCTGAGAGGTGCTTCATCATGTGCAATGTTGCTGCCATTTTGCAAAGGCTGGATGTGGGCCGCCTTCATAGGAGTCACCCAGGTGCGGTTCCGTGGTAGGTGCTCACTTGGTGGGGACCTGGATAACCCCCAGTGGTCCGGGGGGGGACTGTGGGGCTCAGATTGGTGGGGACCTGGATAACCCCCATCCCGGAGGGGTGGAGTGCGGGGTCCGGGTTATCTTCAAGAGAAAGAGACCGTGTGTCCACCCGGACGGAGAGATCGGACCCCTCCCCAGCCAGGGAAGCACCAGGCCGCAGCAAGGGGCAGGCACGTTTGCCAGTTAACAAGGATAGCAAGCCTGAAACCCACTTCAAAGATGCCCCAGCAGTGCCAGACAAGGGTACCAACATGGGAATGTGCAGGAACAGGGTACTTGCACCCTATAACAAACAATTCAAGGATAGTCCGTAGCTCATGCTGCCTGCAACCATCCAATATGGCCTCCAAGCCCCGCTCTCCTTTTATTTTAGGGCAACAATTTTATGATGCCAGAAAAAAAAAAAAGGGTTATACAAATACAGTTTAAAATTGTTACAGAGATTGAAACCATTATATTTCATTTACTCCAAGGAGCTGTAATAAAAATTATACTTTGCTTTTCAATAAAATGTGATTTGTTAGGAATCCAAAGTAAATTTTAAATTTTAGGTAAAACATTTAATTGAAAACAGCTGGCAAGGAGATGTTTCCTATTTTGCCTTAAGTTTGAAATGCAATTCTGTTTGTTGATTCATGGGATTGTAATCGTTTAGAACAAAGGATTTAAATTGGAAAACTTTCTTCAACATATTTTAACTCCACTTTTTCCATATCTGTTTTGACCCAAAGTTTGCCATTCAGTATGAATTCACATGTTTAGTGAACATACCAGCTAGTCCTTGGTTAACCATGGTGAAATCACTGTAATATTTATTATGCTTTTTATTTTTACCTGCCTATTGCTCCATCATTCAGTTTATCTTGGCTGACCCGTTTGGATAAAGAAGTGTTTCTGTTTGGAAGTATGAAATTTGTTTTTGGAAAAAAAATAAAAAATTATATATATATATATATATTAAGAATCCTGTGAATTTGATAGTTAGGATGCATTTAAAACAAAAGTTGTATTCACTGGCAGCCTGAGGAAAATGAAAATCTTGCTTCGTAATCTGCTTATTCAGAACTGGAAGAATTCAGGCTCTTAACTGAGTCCCTTTTTACCTAAATGGCTGCCAGTGCTTGAAACCTCCCTTGCTGCTAAAAAGGCTTAACCCCTTTTAGCGATCCAAGGAGTTTTGTCACACACATTAAGCTTTGAATAGTCTGTGTGTGTTCTTAAATGTGGTTTTCACACTTCCATCAAGTCCTCGTCACCCACTTGTTTGTCAAGTCATTCAGAAATATTACATTTCAGAGTGGTGTCAATATGAAGCCTCATTCCCAGGAACTCTAGAAAGGCAGTTGTTTCAGATAGTCAGTGCTTAAGACTGCATATATTTTGGCTGTGTAAATCTTTTGTATGCAGTTTTTGTAGAAGCATACAATGCATTTTATTTTTTTTATAAACACATCTATATGATTTATCCTTTGGAGCAAGTGGCCTCCTAATTGTCACAATCTTGTTCTTGATTTTCCTGAAAACTCTTAAAGGGGAATTGTAAGTACCAAATCCTCTACCTTAACCAGATAGAGACCACATGCTGGTCTATGCTATAATGCAGTGCAAAACTTTAAAGGGACACTATAATCACTAGGACCACTAAAGCTCAGTGGCTGTGGTGTCTATAGCCTGTCCCTGCAGGCTGACCACTGTAAAAGCTACTTTTTCTAAGAAAAGACAGAGTTTACATTGCTGTGTTGGAACACCTCTAGCCGCAGTCACTCATACGGCCACTAGAGGTGCTTTCTATCTCAGTGCTAACAGTGTGCGGCACTGAATGTTCCCCATAGATATTGATTCAATGCATTTCCAAGAGGAGATGCTGCTTAGCACAGCGCAGTGTTTTGCTGTGCATGCGCAATTGCCTCCTGAAGCATTGGATTGGCTGTGATCATCAAGACGGAGACCGGCGCGATGAGTGAGAAAAGATAAGTAAAACATCTTTCCCATTCAATTGGAGGGGTGACTAGTCACATTTTAAACACTGTATTGTTAGTAATAAATTTTTGTATTCCTAACACAGTTTTCCTTTAATACCCGCTGACAGCATAGACCATCATGCAATAAATATATCAGCAGGAGTTTGGCCCCAAACAATTAGTGGCCCAAACTGACAGATAAGCTATTTGCAGCGCTGCACATAGCCCTTTAAATCCTTTGAAATACTGTATCTGAACGATTGCGCTGAGCCACGCTATTTCTAAGTGTGCCAACAGCTTGCCCACGGCTTAATCGAGGGAACCACAGATAACCTTTCGATACCTGAGGGTCCCCTCCAAGTGAGCGCCGTATCAGTCCTTTAAACTGATTTAATTACCACAGCTGATCGATCGCACTCAGCTGTGGTAATTTTACAAATGCCTCCAGGCATTTAGTGTGCAACCCAGTACCAGGACGACCCATCCCCCCCGCGTCTGAAAAGTGACAGGTGAGGTCTCTCTGCATGCCCCTTTGTCCAGTGGTCAGTGCTGATCTTTGCCAGCTGCCCCAACACCGACCACAGTTACTGGAGCTGCAGCGTGAGTAATGGCTTTTCCTCTCATGTTGCAGTCACACAATACAAAGTGCTCACAGCCCTCTGCACTGACATCAACAGAGGGAATCCTGCAAAGGGAAATTAGGGGTGAGATTAGATTAGGAGAAGGATTAGGATTTTGATTATAGATAGGATTATGGGTAGGTTTAGTCGTTGGATTAAGAGTTTGATTAGGGGAAATGTTATCTCGGTACAGTAGAAGAATACAACTACATGGGGTGTTTTATAATAATGGAAAATAGAATTTGTGTGAAAAACCACAAACATTTAATATTATGAGATTTGCGATAAAATGAAGTGTCAAAATGCTCTTAGTTAAATAGCCTGGAGGATGTACTTTCTATAAATATATATTTTAGTGTAGCAGTTTTAAATTATTGTAACTACTGTAAACTACCATAAACGTTGGAAACTCAACATGCCAAATATTGCAAAGATTTTTATCTTTAAAACTGTAATTCACTACTTTGTTTTATAACTTTAAAAAAAAGAATTGGAGCCTTAGACATAGTGGACCTTTGACAATCAGGACTAATTAGTGAATCTGTTTTGATTTAGTTTTCTTTAGTTGTACTTGTGTAGAAATAATTTATATGTATAAGTGGGATTTTTTTTTTTTTTTGTATATATTTTTAATATTATTCATTCATATTTTATTTTGTTATTGATCCATATAGGGTATTAAAAGAAAGTTATATTTCTTCTCTTTAATACATTAAATATATAATATGTATGGGTGCACTTAAACAGAAACGGAAAATTTGTGATAACATGAACGCAAAAGTACCAAAAAAACTGCTACTCAAAGAACCTTGGTCCCTAAGCGGTTAATAATAGACACCTCTAGTGGCCACCAGAGGTGCTTCATTGTTACATGCTTCAATTTACGATGCTCTTCACATTTTGAATCATCACACACACCATATGACAACGCCACATGGGGCTAACACCTCTCATAGAGAAGCATTGGATAATAACGCGCAGATCATATCCATGTAGTTTGGGGGTCCTTATAATGCAGGATTGGACATACATGTCCTGGTTGGCTTCAGATTAATAGACGTTTCACTCCTGAGTGGCTCCTGACGTCATTCTACTAGAGGGAACTGAAATGGCTGCTTCTCAGGACTGTAACTCCCAGTAAAAATACATACAAGAAAAACTTTAAACTATCTTTTAAGGCTCATCAGTTTTTTTTGTTTTTTTCGGTAAACTGTTACTTTTCATTGCATTGTTGATGTCTTACACAAACACCCCACGTGGCTTTTTTTTCATGTCATACTTTAATGCTTCAGTTTAAAATGCTGCATGTGCAGTTGGAAATTCTAGAAGAAATGTGGAAACATGATTTCTCTGAATTATTCTTTTTAATTGACTTCTCCAAAGGCCCTACTTGAGATATGTAGGTGATTCACAACAGTTAAGAGTTATGTTGTGTTCGGCTCACGCAACTTATTTTAGCACTTTTTTTTTACTACTAAATTAAAACACTCTCTCCTCTCTTTTCATTTTATAAATTTACAATTTTTACAAAACAACTTAAGTGCAATTTAAATACTTGTGAAACAATCAACTTTAACCCTTAAATGATCAGCAACATACCCCTCTAGCACGCAAAGGGTTTATTGCAGCTGTCCAAGTATCCTAGGAACAAAATGAATTGCCTGTATTTAGCTTACTAAATAAGAGACATTTGGAAAGAAGGGAGTGGGTGGATGCATAAGCACACGCCAAGGAAACTCGTTCTTCACTTGTGAGGGGTATGGCATTTTTTATTTTGTCGATTTAGCGTCTGAATTGTGCAAGAGTTGTAAAAGCCAAAAAGAATTTATCCAGATGTGACTCACCACTTGGCTGCACCCAATTAACACTTCCCCCATTAAATTCATTTTTTTTCCCTAAGCATTTCAATTACAGCCAATCCTATCTAAGGTAATGAGAAATAATCAAACTCATATTATGAGCGGTATAATGGGAATTGGTGTGCCATGTCTAATTACATGTATCATACAGAATGATTTTCCTTTTGAGGACATTGTTACATCATTTATATCAATTTAACGTCATATTCTTGCAGCCTAACTCGCTCAAACTCTGTACTAATTTTTCAGAAGTGTTGCTAAATGCAATGAATGTGATGTATACTATATAGAGGATAAAGCAAAATTCAGAGTAGGGATGGGGAGTCAATAAGTTTTTTTGCTTTTTTAAATGAATGAACCAATTTCAATGATATTACATACAGTGAATGCTTAATATTTGGAGATTTGTTTGACAAGGTACGGAAGATGACATCTTTTAAATGAGCTCCATTTGCCACCTCGGAAAGTCGTGCTCTTTGATTGCATCGTTTATAACATTAGCACTTTAGCTTGGTGAAAAGCTTTATGTGTGAAGAGTATGTCCTTTTTTAAAGAAATTTACACTTTTAAAAATGAACCTGGTTACACCCCCTTGGCTTTCAAGCAGACAACCAGTCTTGTTACTTCCTGGTTGGATAGCTCCGTGGAGCTAAACTCAAGAGGCAGCAATTGCTCAGAGCACCTGCCTTGCAAAGACTTCTCATTCAGCTGCATTGGGAAGTCTGTGATTGGACAACCAAAGAAAGTCTGGGTGGAATTAGAAGGGGAGGGCTTGCAAAGGCTTCAGGCAAAAGAACTGTAGGTTTTGCAATCTGTTTTTTGCATGATTTCATTTTGTGTAAATCTACTAAACAATGAATTGTATTTCTTTTTTGTTTGGGCAGTGGAATGTCCCTTTAATGTTTGAGGCTCTAGCACTCAAATTTCTACCTAGATATACTCCTTGAGCTGCTCTAGTGTTCACATGCACTCGCTCCTTCAGATATCCCCATAGGAAGTAAATTGGAGCTTTTGAAATTATCCGCTTGCCGAACAGTAGTTTCAGGAGGTCCTTAGTGGCTCTGGCTGTATGGATAGTTGAATCCTGTTGAATGCATATTTCAACACGATTTTCCACTATAGGATGTAAACTATTTTCTCATCTCACACCAATAAAATTCCACCATTTTTATTCTATGTTCCTTTGAGAAATTATCATTACTATGATGCATCTCCCAAGACTACATTATAATATGTACCTGCAACAAAATGTTTTAACTGCTAGCAAATAAGTTATTTACCTGTCAAATCCTACTCTGAATTTTGGCCCACCCTGTATTATATGAATTATGTATTTGATATGCCTTACTGTTACAAAGTCTCCTTAGTCCTCTTTGCAATTTCAAGCCACTGATATAAAATATTCTGGAGAGCACATAGAAGCTAGTAGACACAAACGTAATAACTCTTATTGCATATTCTTATTAAAAAAAGTACACTGCTGACCGAAGTTTCACTGCTCACACTGGGAATAATCTGTATTACATACTTTAACCCCTTAACGCCGTTACGGCGTTCTATGCCGTCGCGGCTTTAAAGGGCTTTAAAGCCGTTGCGGCGGCATAGAACGTCGTAACGGCTTAAGCCCGGGGGAGGTGAGATATACTTACCTACACCGCGATCCTCTTCTGGAGGGCTGCCTGACAGCCCGGGCAACCCTCCCCCTGCGAATGAGGCCCCCTATAGCTGGCTGTGGATCTGCCAGCAGGGGGACTGTCTGAAATATGAGACCGTCATTAAATTAAAAATAAATTAAACGTGTGTGTGTGTGTGTGTGTATATATATATATATATATATATATATATATATATAATTATATATGTGTGTATGTATGTATAATTACAATAATAAATAAAATAATTAAGTAAAATATTGAAACAAAATTTAATATAAATTTATATATTCATATGTAATTTCATTCTAACTGTGTTTTGTTATTATATATGTAACAAAATACACTTAGAATGACATTCTATATATATCTATCTATATATAAAATACAAATAACCGCAAATATATATATAGATAAATACATATAATTACATAAAAGATTACATTAGTATACACGTAGAATTTAAATACCTATAAATGCATATATATTAAAATTCTATGTGTATATTTAAGTAATCTTTTAACATAATTATGTGATTTGATTAATTAAAATTTGATTGACATGCCTGACAACACAGGGAGAAAGTGCAGAGAATTTAATTCGCAAGCACTATATTTGACCCTGTAACTCTCCAAGACACCATAAAACCTGTACATAGGGGGTACTGTTTTACTCGGGAGACTTCGCTGAACTCAAATATTAGTGTTTCAAACTGGTAAATTGTATTACAACGATGATATTTTAAGTAAAAGTGAATTTTTTTGCATTTTTTTACAAACAAACAGCACTTTTATGGGCTATATTATTGTTGTAATATGTTTTACTGTTTTAAAACACTAATATTTGTGTTTAGTGAAGTCTCCCGAGAATAACAATACCCCCCATGTACAAGTTTTATGGTGTTTTGGAAAGTTATAGAGTCACACATAAGGCTTGCATTTCATTTTTTGACATTGAAATTTGCCAGATTGGTTATGTTGCCTTTGAGACCGTATGGTAGCCCAGGAATAAGAATTACCCCATGATGGCATACCATTTGCAAAAGTAGACAACCCAAGGTATTGCAAATGTGGTATGTCCAGTCATTTTTAGTAGCCACTTAGGCGCAAATTCCAGTTTTTGTTTACGTTTTGTTTTGATCAAAACTTGTACTATTGACTCCGTCCTGAAGTGGTTAAAAGATCTTTGTATCTATAAACATATATTTCTTTTTATTGATAACTTGAGAACAGAATTCCAAATTCAATGCAAATTCAAGAAAAAAAATTCCCCAAGTCAACTGTCCACCGCTTAGTTTTTCCACTGGTTTTTGAATGTGTTTAAAGATGGCGCATCCCTTGCCAATTCTGACTGAAAGTTTGCAATATACACATTGACCCATATGGGTCTGTATCCTACTTTGCATTTTGTGTGGATTAAAATGCCATTAAATGGGGTCTATTCATTATACTCCAAATTTTAGCAAGTTAGAAGCCAACTGAGTACAGTTCAGTTTGGAGAATTTCTCCAAATCTGTTATATTTGCTTAAATATTACCAATCAAGTTTCAGATTGCTACAATTTGTAGTTTAGTGCATAACCCTGAGAAGCACGTTTCTGTGAGTATATATCATTTATTAGCAGTTTTTGTATTTAACTTTCCGTGTGTGCCTTCAAAGCATATGTATTGTTGTATTCAGATCTATACACACTCAATTTCCATATCATAGTATTTGTTTTTTCTTTATTTTTGTGTTGTTTTTTTTTCTGTTTAAATAAACCTTCAGTTGCTAACACATGTTTTCTAACAGCAGGAGGGGACTGTATGCTGGAAAGCGGCTGAACATATTTCCTGTTATTGAGGAGGTTGAACAGCCAACTGGAACAGGTCGGTTTAGATGGATACTCTGTGTTCCCAAGGTGTCAGGTGTTGTGCTGTAATTCTGTTACCTTTTTTTTTTTTTGCACGGTGGCAATGTACTTCGCAATACTAGAAAGTATTTGCCGATAGGGGGTACAATACACACAGGTGACGTGCTGTGGGTTACAGATCCTTTTAAGATCAGAACAGGCATGTCAAAATGCAGCGCTCCAGTTGTGGTATCTCCAAGAAGCCTTTGCTTACTAAACATCACTGAACAAATTGTACAATGATGCGCAACCTTAACATGATACTCCTTTTTAGTTTTAATAGATATGCTTTGATAAAAGTTCGTTTTTTCCAAACTTGAGAAGTGTGAAATCAGGGCATATATATACACAAATATATATACACATATATACACAAATTTATTTTGAACAGTGTTTGCATTTCCATCAATCACTATGAAGAATGCAGATTGCCTCAATCAGTGACTGTCACTCACTTCAAACTATGATGATTTTATTTAATTTACATTGAACCAACAGAAGACCTGAACTAAGTCCACCTCCTGATTTCAAAGCAAAATAAAGCTCTCTCGCTGTTGCTTTGGTGAGACAATCTGCAAAGATATGCCCTGATTTATATATATAAAGAAAGAAAAGGAAAAAAAGCCCTGCACTCCTACTCACTCAGTATTCTTTAGACCCGGTGCTCGACTGCACTAATAGACATGAAACAAAAATAGTCAGCACTCCCAGGGTTTGTAAAAAGATTCAAATTTTACTCCAATAGTCGACGTTTCAGCTCCACTTGGGAGCTTTCATCAGGACAGCATACATGATTTATATATATATATATATATATATATATATATAAAACATATTATTGTCACCCTCAAGTCAAATTCAATGTTTTTAAAACAACTGCTTTTTTTAAAATACCTGATTGCTCTCTGCACCGAAACAGGGCTTAATGGAACACTTAGAAATGAATCTACTTGGGAAGCTGTTAATTCGTATGGAGAATCGCTTACTTTAAATCCGGAATGAAGAGTTATAATCACTCATACTCTGGCAGTTCGGGAGGAAACTGACGAACGGGTATAGGCGATACCAGTGTTCCTGACCCTATAGTGCTCCTTTAATGTAGTTGTTGTTGTTATAATAATTTGCCATTTTTATAGCTCTTTTCTTCCTGTGAGACTCAAAGCACTTTACAAGCATACGAATATATAGGCAAAAAAGTTAGGAGTTTCTGAAGGTCAGCTGAGCGGAGTGAATGCCTGATGGAAGAGGTGGGTCTTTAGCTTTTTTTTTTTTTAAAGTCTGTAAGGATGGTGCCTCTCTGATTGCGCAGGGTAAAGAGTTCAAGAAGGTAGAGGCAGTGTGGCTGGATGCCCTGGAAACAGTTGTTCTGGTGAGTATAATCATTACCTGCAGGCATTTTCATGCAAACACTGCATTTTTAGAGAAAACTCCTCAGATGGCCACTGGAGGTGCTTCCTGGGGTAGTGCTGCAGAGTAGGCACTGCTGTTCAGCGTCTCCACACTCTGCATGGAGATGCTGAGTTTTCCTCATAAAGATGCAGTGATTCAATGAGGAGGTGCTGGTCCCACCCCCTCACCCTATGGGAAAGCAGTGTATTGGCTAAAAATCAGCAATTCTGATTATGTCACCAAGGAGACAGATCGGGGGTGGGGCACCCCGTATTTCAGATGAAGGAGCTCCCGAAAGTTGACCGGCAAAAGCACCAAACGACCTTGATCTATTTTGGGCATAGGACCACTTGTGCGTCTGTTCACAACTTTAACACGGTGATGTTTTTCCTACACTGCATGGATCGGAGCGCTATTTGGAGAACTTAGGTGCTTAGATCAGGGCTATTTGGGGATGTATTATTTGTGGGGTTAGTGTATTATGTTTTTGGGTACTTTTATTTTTTTTTGTTTTTGTGTTGGATTCTCCTGTTCCTGGGAGATAATTAGCTTACTGGTCATTAACTCAGTTATCTCCCAGGCCCAGAGATTCCTTGTGTTGAATACAATAGAGACCCCATGCAGGGGGCTGTGCATAAAACACAGAGTTTGGCTCATTAAAATCAGTTGTACTCCCAGAACTATGTGTCGTCTAGTTACTGGGAGGGGAAATGCCTAATCACTGCTCAGCACCTTGTTCCAGCTCGTGGAAGATTTGGGGGAGGGGGGGGGGGTCTCAGTAAAGACTACAGCTCCCAGGACTGTGTATTGTCCAGTCCCTGGGAGGAGATAGAGTTACTCCCCTACACTGTTCCAGGACGGAGAGGCTCCATGATGATCCCAGTCACGCCACTGTGACTGGGGCAGAAGCACTGAGGTTTTTCCCAGTTCCAGCAAGGAAGCGGTCCTTGGCGGAGGTACCCAGCCGGGGTACAGGGAGCTCCACTACACCTTGATACTTGCCAACTGGCTTTAGTAGTCCATTTATTTTTGGAAAAACAAAAAACTAAACAAAAAAACACTATCTGGAGGCAGATTCACAACATGCACCATTTAGTTGTGGTGCTGCTAGATCCTAAAATAAGTAAACTTTGATATATCTTCTTTGGATGCCCAGATCTCCAAAATATGAATTTTACTAGATAGTTTGGGGAAGGAAGTTTTTTCAGCGGGTAGTAGACTGATACCATGCATTGCTTTTTCCATCTATTTTTGTAGTACTTTGCGTATCTGACCTCCTTGGTTGCCCAACTCTTACACATAGTAGCGTGGGTGTTTCCCTGGCCTACATGACGCATAGTTAACAAGGAAAAAGGAAACTGAATTCAGATGTCCTACGTATGTTGACTCAAGGATCAGAGTTGACCAATTAGCTGTTAGAGGGAGAAGCAAACCGTAGAATAAATGCTGCCTTTGGTTTTCTTTAGTAAAACATAATGTAGTTTAGGGCAGCTACCTGCTCATCAAGTCTCCCCATAAACAGCGTTTTCATTACAATATAAATGTCACGCAAGATGATACTTGAAAGCTGAATTACAAGCCAAAATGTTGACTAATTTGATTGGCATGTAGCCCAATAAAAGTTGTTTTGAATTAGTGAGAATTCTCCTGGGTTTTTCTCCATTTCTATTATTAATCCCTTGGTGTTTAAAGTACGCTAGTCCACAAGACTTACATGTTTACACAGCATATCTGAAAGCGTGAGAATTCTCAAACACCACATGCTACATATAAGTACAGCAATGAGCATGTGTCATTAGAGTAAGAAACTTTAATAAGGAACATATGGTTTGAAGACTCAACTAAAGATTTGTGCTGTACAATCAGTGGATGACAAAGGTATCACAACTTAGGACGTTCCTAAAGGAGCACACCATGCACCATAACCACCACAGCTCACTCCCCACTTCCACTACCATTTCCTGAGAGCTGGAAGTTCTTCAGCTCAAACTTCCATTAGCTCTCCTGACCTAAGCCCTACAAAACACGTCTTTGTTATTGGCTGAGAGCATCCACTGATCCTGCTGAAAACCTTCTCAGGAGATTATAGTGACCATTTGAAAAAGGTTTGAATACTTACAGTGAGGGAGAAAAGCAGGCAATCTGCAATGGTTATGGTGCTTGGGGAGTTCTATTAAATTGCATTGTAGTCACTGACAATATGCATGTTTTTATACATAAGGATTAGCGATAGCTGAATGGCCATTTCATGGTTACCAGAGTGAGAGAAAATGGGGGCGGTAATAGATTACCTCAGGGCATATCCCACTGACAAACACAGCCTGGCCATTCAGCATCTCCTCATAAAGATGAATTGAATCAATGAATCTCTATGAGGAAAGTTCAGTGTCTGCATGCAGAGGGAGGAGATACTGAATGTTTGGATGCATTGTAGGCAGCTATAACCCAAGAAGGATCTCTATCAGCCATCTAAGGAGTGGCCAGTGAAGTTATCACTAGGCTGTAATGTAAACACTGCATTTTCTCTGAAAAGACAGTGTTTACATCAAAAAGCCTGAAGGTAATGATTCTACTCACCTGAACAAAAACAATAAGCTATAGTTGTTCTGGTGACTATAGTGTCCCTTTGATAAAAGGATGCTCCTATATATTTTCTATTACAAATGCTGAAGTTATCCCATATATTGTTTGACTGTACTTTTCAGCTTTCTGAACACTGTAGCCTAAATACTACTCCTAGAACCCTCTACTGTGCTTAATGATAACTCAACACCCCAATGTTACTGGAACAAAAGGGAAGCACTTCAGAATGAGAGGAAGATACAAGCTGCAGACTTGTAGTTCTTTAATGTGCTCACTATCTGGCTGGATGTCTTGCAGTTACAATAATACTAGTTACTATCAGTGCCATATATGTGAGAGCTATAAAAAACTGACTAAGCAACAAACAAAAACAACCCAAGAAAGACACATGAACATGGTCTTGACTTAATGTTGGATACGCTTATCACATCATTTCATATTTTAGATACACTTTCCAAATAAAAAATTTTTCTACATACCGTATATACTCGAGTATAAGACGAGTTTTTCAGCACATTTTTTGTGCTGAAAAACCCCCACTCGTCTTCTACTCGAGTCACTGTCTGTATTATGGCAACTTACATTGCCATAATACAGACCATTACCGCCGGGCTCATTACAAGCTCCCCTGCAAGTCTTGCCAGAGCCGCGGGGTCAGAGTGTTGCCACGGATTACCATGGCAACGCTCCGCGCGGCACTCACACCGCGAGACTTACAGGGAAGCTGACAATGGAGCTGACCGGACCGGAGGAGAGAGAAGGGAGCTGACAGGAGCTGCAGGAAAGGTAAGTTACAGCTCTCTGCCAGCCCCCTCCTACACAGTGCACACCATTGGACCACCAGGGAATGAGAGCCCCCCTCCATGGCCAGCTAACAAGCAGGGAGGGGGGACATAAATAAATAAAAATTTAAATAATAATAAAATAAAATATTATATTATAATAATTTTAAAAAAATAATAAAAATGCCCACCCCCCCACCAAGGCTCTGCATCACACACACAAACACACTCTGCATCACACACACAAACACACTCTGCATCACACACACAAACACACTCTGCATCACACACACAAACACACTCTGCATCACACACACAAACACACTCTGCATCACACACACACTCTGCATCACACACACACTCTGCATCACACACACACACTGCACTCACACACACACTGCACTCACACACACACTGCACTCACACACACACTGCACTCACACACACACACCGCATTCATACAAACACACTGCATTATATACACACACACACACACACACACACACTGCATTCAAGACTCTGGTGGACTCTACAACTTGATGTCCGTGGGACTCCAGAGGCACTAGCAGCTTCAAATATCCGTTTGCTGCTATGTAATGGTATTTTAGCAGCTACTCTCTTGATCCGATGCATGGATCTGGCAGAAATCTTCCTCAGTGTGCCTTTATCTGCAAGAACCCATCTGTGCTCTAAATCAGCCACAAATCTCTTAATAGTGCAATGATCACGCTTATGTTTTCGTTAAATATCTAATGTTCTCAAACCTCGTCCAAGGCATTGAACTATTTCACTCTTTTCGGCAGCAGAGAGATCCTTTTTCTTCCCCATATTGCATGAAAATGGTGCTCTGCTTAATAATGTGGAACACCCTCCTTTAGTAGTTTTTCCTTAAATTGGGCTCACCTGGCAATCTAATTATCACAGGTGTCCGAGATTGTTTTCAGTGATCAAGAGAGCTCTGAGACACAATGCCATCCATGAGTTAAACTGAAAAACTAAATATTTTTTGTGACACTTAAGTAGAATTTGCTTAATAATTTGGAACAGGGTGTATAAAAAAAATAAGATGCCCAAATACCAGAGTATGTCTGCCAAGCTAGAGCAGCAAGTGATGTCATAGACAGGGCCTTTTGTACACCTGCTAATGTTTTTATAAATGTATGTTTTAATGTAACTGTGACGCACTTTGGACAACAACGTTGCAATTAAATGTGCTATATAAATAAAAGTTGAAATGCGTTTCTCACTCTATCAATATCGGTATCTTTAGCGGCCGATATTGCCGAAAATACCGAATATCGGCTGATAATATTGGTAAAACCGATAATCGCTCGATCCCTAGTTGTAGACTACCGGTGGAGGCAAGAACACTTCACACAATTTCCCCAGAAATTGTAGCTTTTCTAGTTCTTATTAAGTGTTCTTGCATAGCAAGACCACTTAATGTTATCTCACATGTATATTATTCTTATTATAGGCAAATTTTCCACCATAACTCCTCCCACAGTTTTTACACTACATAGACAGTAATACACTGAAATGCTTCAGACTTGAAAAAGGGAGGTTCTCCCAAAAGCTTGTCATTAAAAAAATTCTGTTAGTCCAATAAAACAGTTATTACAAGATACAAATTTTATCTGTTTTTTACATCTACATCACTGGACTAATACGGCTACAATCTCTACTTGAACACTCTCTCTCTCTCTCAATCTCAATATATTTAAAAAAAAAAAAAATCAAAATATGAGAGCGTGGCTTAGGAGCGCTGTTGGGTGGATGTGCTTTGCTGAGCTCTGTCCGTGCAGCAGAGAGCACTGAACGATATACTGAACAACTACAAAGATTTGAAGTGAAAAAGATGAAGCGATTCAGTAACACAATAAGTGCATAAATGAACTTTTTTACTTTTCATACAGTGCCTTATTACACGTTTTTTCAGTTCTTATTGTATAACTACAAAAATTTGCCTTCCCTGAGGGTCAGAGAGGCAAACTATGTCCCCAGCAAACAAAAAAAAACATGAAAAGCCTCCTTTTTTTTTATGGCCCTCACAGCTGCTACTAAACCGCTGAGCAAAACCAAGATAGTGATGGACAAACTGCTAGAGATGAGTTCCTCTTTGCCACCAAACTCCACACTCTTCCTGAGAGAACAACCCATGTCACATGAGCAGAGATGAGAGCTATCTTTGCAGACCTCATGGCCATCATCACTGCAAATGTGATGACCCATCTCCAGTAATATGAGTTGAATAGCACCGTGTGTATTCTGTGTAGGTGTGGAGACATTCTAATAGTTCTACTTCAGTCTGACCCCATTTTATAATCTCTGTATCGTCACCAATACCTTACGGGTACTGCTGAATATATGATCAATATTCTAGTGAATACCTACCTTAGAACCATACTGGAACTTTTATATTTTATTCTACCATGGTGTTTCTGTCACGATTCTGAAACCTAACACGCTAACAGGTCACAGAGAGGAAGGGTGCTATACCAGTCCTTAGAGTGGCCGGGCTAAGCACACTAAGAATGGTCAGGAGACAAGCCAAGTAAAGGGAGCCAGAAAACGGGAGAACGAGAAACAAGCCGAGGTCAAAGGGGTGGAGAAGACAGGATAATCGGAATAACGAGCCAAATAATCGGTAACCAGAGATCAACACAAGAAAACTGCAATACAGGTATCACAAGACCACAACAGGGCACTGAGAGACAGGAAAGGTAAGTATAAATACCCTTTGTTTAATTTTGATTGGATAACTTCCAATCAGAATTAACAATCACACGTGGGAGATATCTACGCCTCCCGCTGTGATTGTGGTACTGTTGCTTTAACGCCGAGTCACTCACGTGACCCCGGCGTTTGCATAAATTAGCGACCTCCCAGCGTGCAGCGTTATACATGCTGCCGCTGGGAGGCGTGGAGGACGCGAGTGGCGGAGAGGAGACGCCGCTTGCCGACCGGCAGGAGGAGGGGAGACCCCTGACATAACCCCCCCTCGAGGACCGCCCAATGGGCGGGAAGCTGAAGGCTTCAAAGGAAACCGCGCATGAAAGGAGTGGATCAAAGAGGGCGCATTCAAGTCAGAGGCAGAAACCCAAGACCGCTCCTCAGGGCCGTAACCCTTCCAATCAACCAGATACTGCAACTGACCCCGAAAAAAAACGAGAATCAAGCAGAGCAGCCACTTTGTACACGTCACTAGAGACAGCGCGGAGGGAATCCGGACGCCTGAGAGGACCAGAGAATCGATTACAGAGCAGGGGCTTCAAAAGGGAGTGTGAAAAGTGTTAGGTATATGCATGGAAGGAGGCAAGGCCAGGGAGTAGGACACAGGATTGACCTTACGCAATACCTTATAGGGGCCAAGGAACCTGGGCGCGAATTTCATCGAGGGGACCCTGAGGCGGATGATTCTTAGAGGACAACCAAACCCTATCACCCGGGACATAAGAAGGAGCAGCACCCCTACGACGATCAGCAAATCTCTTCTGTGTAGCAGTCGCACGAGAAAGAGTAGCATGGACCTGATCCCACATCTTCCGTAAGGAGGTGAGGTGCTCGTCCAAAGCGGGTATTCCCTTGTCGGAGAACACGCCGGGAAGGACAGAGGGTTGGAACCCATAAGCAACCATAAAAGGACTTAAGCCAGTGGACGAATGAGTCACGGTGTTCCTGGCGAATTCAGCCCAGGGAAGGAGGTGAGACCAGTTGTCCTGATGCGCATTCGTGAAGCAGCATAAATATAACTCTACAGATTGATTTGCTCGTTCGGCGGCTCCATTAGATTGTGGATGATAGGAGGACGTAAATGACAAGGAGATCCCCATCTCAGCACAAAAGCCCCTCCAAAACCGAGAGGCAAATTGAGGACCCCTGTCATATACAATATCCTGTGGTATACCATGCAAGCGGAACACCTCTTTGGCAAATACTTGAGCCAACTGAACCGCAGAAGGTAGTTTCTTAAGTGGAATAAAGTGTGCCATTTTAGAGAACCTAAATTACTGTCTGTCCACCAGATGAAGGAAGATCTACAATGAAGTCCATGGATAAGTGGGTCCATGGTTTCTTGGGTACGGATAGAGGCATTAGGAGTCCCGGGGGTTTAACATTAGGGGACTTACACTGTGCACAAACACGACAAGCCTGCACATAATCCACTACGTCTTGCTTAAGTGAAGGCCACCAAAACTGTTGAAGGAGACCCTTGTATGTTTTGGTAACCCCTGGGTGACCAGCCATTTTGGCAGTGTAAAATAAAGCTAACAATTTCTTTCTATCTTTTTCTTTCACGTATAATCTACCAACAGGTGTCTCAGATGGTGCTTGTGTTTGGTATGCCTTGATACCATCAAGGAAATGAGACGAAATAACCAAACGGGTAGCAGCTATTATCTTAGATGTAGGTACAATGGGTTCAGGAGCGGGGACAATAGACTCCAAAGGTTCGTATTGTCTGGAGATAGCATCAGCCTTGACATTACGGTACCCAGGCCTATATGTGATAATGAACTGAAAGCGTGAAAGAAATAAGGACCATCTGGCTTGACGAGAGGACAACTTTTTAGCATCTGCTATATAGGAGAGATTCTTATGATCAGTTATAACCAGGATTTTGTGTCTAGCTCCTTCTAATAAGTACCTCCATTCTTTAAAAGCCATCACAATAGCTAATAGTTCCCTGTTCCCGACGTCGTAATTCTTTTCCGAATCAGACAGCTTTTTAGAAAAGTAACAACAGGGATGGAGGGGTTCGTTATACGATAGTCTTTGTGATAATACAGCTCCTACACCTGATTCTGAAGCGTCTACTTCCATAACAAAGGGAAGGGAAGGATCAGGATGATGTAGCACAGGGGCAGTGGCAAATGCCTTTTTGAGAGTCTCGAAGGCTTTAACGGCTTCAGGAGTCCAAACCCTGGGGTGCAAACCCTTTTTAGTCAGTTTCGTGATAGGAGAAATGACTGATGAAAAGTTTTTAATAAACCTGCGATAATAATTGGCAAAACCTATAAATCGCTGTATTGCCTTAAGGCCTTGAGGAAGAGGCCAAGACAATATGGCTTCTAATTTTGAAGGATCCATGCTGAACCCCTGTTCAGAAATGATGTACCCTAGGAATTGTACAGATTTTTGGTCAAATAAACATTTCTCCAATTTACAATAAAGACCGTTCTGTAGCAATCTCTTAAGTACCTTCCTCACATGGGCATGTTGTGACTCCAAATCAGGAGAATATACAAGTATATCATCGAGATAAACCACAGCACAGACATGCAGTAAATCTCTAAGGACATCATTTATGAGGTCCTGAAAGACAGCAGGAGCATTGCACAGTCCAAAAGGCATGACTAGATACTCGTAATGCCCACTGCGTGTATTGAATGCTGTCTTCCATTCATCATTTTCTTTTATACGAACCAAGTTATAAGCCCCCCTGAGGTCTAGTTTAGTATAATATCTAGAACCTTTAACACGGTCAAACAACTCAGTAATGAGAGGGATAGGATAAGCGTTTTTAACTGTTATATTATTCAGGCCCCTATAGTCTATACATGGCCTCAAATTGCCCTCTTTCTTGGCAACAAAAAAGAAACCAGCACCAGCCGGAGAGGAGGACCTTCTGATAAAACCTTTACGTAAGGATTCCTGTATGTACTCCTCCATGACCTGGTTTTCTTTCTCAGAAAGCGGGTAGACCTTACCCCTAGGAGGCATCGTTCCAGGTAACAGGTTTATGGCACAATCATAATCCCGGTGTGGGGGTAGTTTATCAGATTCCCTTTTTTCAAAGACCAATGTGAGGTCTGCATACACAGGAGGGACAGAAACAGAAAGTGGTTTAGCTGTAGGCACATTAAGTAAGCAAACGGGACGTAAACGGGCCATACAGTCTTGTTGACAAGATTCCCCCCAGGAGAGTATATCTAGACAACCCCAATCAAGTACCGGGTTATGCTTAACTAACCAGGGAAAGCCCAGAACGATGGAAGCTGTAGGGGAGTCGATTATTTGGAAGGTTAACCTTTCTTTGTGTAAGGCACCCACGGCCATAACCATTTCTTGGGTTTCATGGGTCACCAGAGGTTTATCAAGTGGTCTACCATCTATGGCCTCAACGGCCAAGGGTGTGGCCTTTTGGATCAGATTCAAGGCTGCGGTTTTTGCAAAGTTCTCATCCATAAAGTTGTCTGCAGCACCTGAATCGATCAAGGCTTTAGTTGTTATAGTGGTTCGATTGACCAAAAGAGTAACCGTAATAAATGGTCTGGAGATGGATACATGAGGGGAAAAAACCATAACACCCGAGGCCGACCCCTCTCTAGGCCTTAGGTGGTGTAGTTTCCCTGCAAACTAGGACAGTTTCTTCGGAGATGCCCCCTCTTTCCACAATAAAGGCACAAGCCCTCCCTTCTGTGGTACGTTCTTTCAGCTTCAGTTAAGCCTACAGCACCTAATTGCATGGGTTCGGGAGGTGGTTGATTAAGGGGAGGTAATGCTAGTAATGCAGTACTGGGTAAAGCAGGTAATCCCGGTGTATTCATCCTTCTTTGACTACGCCTCTCTCTAATATGGTTGTCAATAAGAATGATATAATCTATTACATCATCCAGAAGAACAGGCAATTCCCTGGATGCTATTTCATCTAATATGTAAGCGGCCAAACCCTCCTGAAAGGCTGTTACAAGGGCGTCGTTATTCCAAACCACTTCAGCTGCCAGAGTGCGGAATTCAATGGTATAATCCGCTACAGATCTATTACCCTGTCGGACCCTAAGCAGAGCTTTGCCAGCAGAAGCAACCCTGCCGGGTTGATCAAATGTACGTTTAAAAGCTGTCAAAAAGTCTGCAAAGGACATTGGGGACGTATTCTCCCACATGGGATTAGCCCATGCTAGAGCTTTCCCGGACAAGTGGTTGATCAGAAAAGCAATTTTGGTTCTGTCAGTGGGGTAGGAACGAGGATTCATCACCAAATGAATATCAATTTGGTTGAGGAAACCACGGCACAACGCTGGATCACCGCTATAGTGCTGAGGTGGTGTCATGTGAACCACGTGAGCAGGAGCGGGTACTGGATCGGGAATCGGTTCTGGCACAGCAGCAACAGCTTCTTGAACGGCAGGTTGCAAGTGGGCAGTACGAGCCAGTATGGTTTGTAAAGCCTGGGCAAACTGATCCATACGGTGGTCTAAACCATCCATTCTAGCCTCCTGATTTACTAACAACTGTGGAATGTCAGCAGGTTCCATGGTGGCCCTGTTGTAATGTCACGATTCTGGAACCTAACACGCTAACAGGTCACAGAGAGGAAGGGTGCTATACCGGTCCTTAGAGTGGCCGGGCTAAGAACACTAAGAATGGTCAGGAGACAAGCCAAGTAAAGGGAGCCAGAAAACGGGAGTGCGAGAAACAAGCCGAGGTCAAAGGAGTGGAGAAGACAGGATAATCGGAATAAGGAGCCAAATAATCGGTAACCAGAGAGCAACACAAGAAAACTGCAATACAGGTATCACAAGACCACAACAGGGCACTGAGAGACAGGAAAGGTAAGTATAAATACCCTTTGTTTAATTCTGATTGATAACTTCCAATCAGAATTAACAATCACACGTGGGAGATATCTACGCCTCCCACTGTGATTGTGGTACTGTTGCTTTAACGCCAGTCACTCGTTATACATGCTGCCGCTGGGAGGCGTGGAGGACGCGAGCGGCGAGTGGCGGAGAGGAGACGCCGCTCGCCGACAGGTACCCCTGACAGTTTCTATAGTTTGTACATTAATATTAGGTTGTTTTTTATGTGTCTTTGATAATGTTATGAGCTGTTACTCATGCTGTACTGTGTATACATTTTTCACCACTTACGGCAGTGAAACCAGCCACCACTTCCATCTTATGCCCAGGCTTTCTCCTGCACGTAAGAGCTCTAATGACAACCTGTTAATTTCTTGTTTGGTGATCACTGATATTCCCCCTCATCCCCATATGTTTAATGTACCACTTTGTCCTTATGTCCAAGTATTCCCACCATCACATCCACACTTCACCACTAAAGCATTGCAGAGTACTTTGCATTCACTCAGTGCTAACTGGTCTCTTGAAATACTTACACTGCGATATTCCCTGGTATATTTATATTTAGCTTGAACCTTTGATAGCCCCAATGATATTTGGCATAAATCTAAATCGCATACTAAACATCGTATATTTATTTGTTGGTTTTGTTTTTTGTTTTTTTAAAAAAGTTGCTTATAATGCTAAATGGCTTAACAGCCTCTTTCGAAAAGAGGCTCCTTGTTGAAAGATATTAGGCGCCAACAAATAGAAAACCCATTTTAAACATCCAAAACCGCAATTATTTGCAAAATATTATTCCACTCAATACCATGCTATGTACAAATCAAAACCGAGAGGAGTATCAATACTCATTCGTTGTGTCAAAGTCGTGTCCTTTCAACTCCAAAAGAAACTATTGATATGCATGGTAGATATGGGACTTTAATTGTTTAACAATATTCAGTATAGCCTAAGTTCTGTGTATTTTCAAAATGCTGATCAGAGAGATTATTTTGTCTGTTCTGACTAAAATAAATAAATACAAACAAGGAGGATTGATTATTTGTGGCGCTTTTTAATTTTATTCAATACCTAGCACTGGATACCTCCAGCCCCGGCACTGGTAGATGGAAAAAACAAATGGTTATCTCATGCTATAAATTGACACACTTGTTGGACCACCATTCAAGGACAGATGGAGAATATTCCACTGCTTGCGAAAGGATGTTATATTTTGTTCTGTGGTACGTAATACCTATACCAGGATTAACACATTTTTCTTGGATAACATAGCTTTAACCCAAATGATAGGCTGTACAATCTGTGTTCACTTGGTCAGACCATAGTCCAGTGCCCCTAGCACTTCAGGACATGTTTCAGTTCCATGGTAAGGGAACATGGATGCTGAATGAGACCTAACTGCTTGATCAAAAATTTCTAGAATACAAGTTAAATTACAAGATTATTTTGCTTCAAAAGATATAGGTGACAGAGTGGCAGAAACACTATGGGCAGCCTACAAGACAGTATTTGTAGGTGTATTTATTAAAAAGCTTCATTAGCTAAAAGTGCGTCCCAAACTAAATGAATGGCCTGCTACAGGAAAATCTTCTTGCTATCACCTATGTAACACAATGTTAATCTATCCCCAGATTTGACTTCAGAACTTTATAAAACTGGGCAAATATAACTATTGGTTTTCATAATTTGAAGGCAATACTTATGTTTCAGGAAGTAAATCCAGAAATTTTCTAGCTCAGAGCCTTAAGCACAACTAGTACACACTTGTATCTAGCACTTCTCAATAGCAGAGGCTATTAAGGATCTGACCCCCAAACCTTCTCCCCCTTCTATGCTGACTTTTACCATCTGGCAATTCATACTAAAATGGGTCATTCCACCCCCGAATCTATCTCAACCTACATAGGTGATATAACTTTACCCCAAATAACAGTTACAAGCAACGGACTTGGGCCACCCCTTCACACTGGAAAAATTGTTCCTGGTAATATATATGCTTCCGTCAGTCAAATCACCAGGCCCTGACAGATTCTCTGCAAAATATTATACATTTTTTGCACCTATTCTGGCTCCATGCCTCCTCCAAGTCCTTAATAGAGCTCATGAATTAGGTAAATTACCAAGTGATATGCTAATGCCCACAATTATCTCACTGCCTAAGCTAGGTGAAGATACTGAGCGTTGTAAAAACGATAAACCTATTTCTTTGTTAAACCTAGATGCAAAAATAAAAGCCAAACTTGTAACACTCATACTAAGCCCTCTATTACCTACTTTTATAGACCACAATCAGACAGGTTTCGTACATGGATGTCAGGGCATAGAAAACACTAGGTTATCCCTAATTTTAGAAATGCTGATATCCTCCAACACAATAGGTTTATTGTTGGCTCTTGAGTCCAAGCACGCTTTTTACCGTCTCACTTGGAAATTTTTTGAGGCAATCTTGTATAAGTTTGGCTTTTCCGAGCACTGTGTATGCAAATCCTGCAGGCAGGTTTCTTATCTCCCTACCTTCCAAATATCCAATGGAATGAGGCATGGATGTCATATTGCGCTTTTTCTTAGCTTTGAAACCATTTCTGCAAAAGATAAGACATAATCCAAACATTCGTGGGTCGTAGGAGGCCCGAGAGAGCTCAAACTTGCTGCCTTTGCAGATGATGTCATTCTTACTTTAACAAAGTCTAATGTATCGATTCTGACTCTAATGGAGGAAATTATAATTAATCGAGAGGAATTGGGTTACTCCTTAAATACCTCAAAAACACAGGCATTGGGTATAGGCCTACCAAACAGCATTAAAGAAAACCTCAAATCCAATTTTCCCTGTTGAATGGAAAAACACAGATCTCATGTACTTAGGTTTAGCGATAACAGAAAATCAGCAAGAGATATACTCTGCTAATTATACCAAATTTTTGAAATCTTGTAGATCACAGTTAAATGGTTGTCAATAAACCTAACCTGTTCTCTTTCCAAATAGCAGCTGTTAAGATGTCTATCCTACATCATATGATTCAATACCTATCTGCTACCTAAATCGTTTTTTAATAGAGACAGAATCAGACCTAGTGAAGTTCAATTAAGTAGGGAGAAGAGAGACCACATTTCTTATTGTGGTTGCTACAATATTCCAGATTCCAGTTCCAGATGTTCAGGGATACTATTATGGCATCATTTTAGCATTGCCAATTCCCTTTTTCATATCAAAAGAACACCCACAATGCATAAAATTAGAATGAGCCCCTTCCCCAATCAATGACTTATTGTGGCTTTCACCACAACATTGCCCACCCACTTATATAGCTTCTTCACAACTGAAACATGGTTTTAAAATATGGGACAAATAAAAGCGTCTGTATTAGTTTGTCCGGGCAATTATTCCTAGCAACCTTGATCTCAGCATTACAGTATCTAATCCTAACATTTAATCATAAAAATTGGTGTACAACACATCTGACACATTTGTTTAATCTTATGCAAAATGCATCCCTTATGGATTTCCAGACCCTTAGAACTCAAAATCAAATCCCAGAGAGTTCACTATATTCTTACTACCAACTACAATCATTGTTTACAGCAATCAAAAAGCAAAGGAACTTCATCCCTGAACAAACAAATATTTTAACATTTATTGAACAGATTAGTATTAAAGTTGTGATACCGACCAATTGTAAACCTATCTCTATGTGTTACAAATTAATCAACCCTCATCAACATTTCTTTAATTCGAAAATAGGCAAGTGGTGGGAGTCAGATTTGCAGTGCTCGATCTCCTCTTCCCAATGGTCTCAAATTTGTGACATATATATACAAAAATAATCGAATCCTTCACTCTATTTGAACAAGACAGGAAGGCGATGTAAAAGGTACCATCTTGATTACACAAAATATTTCCAAACTCCTTTACAATATGTTGAGGATGTCTTCAGGCTGTTACTTCACATTTGGTGGAGCTGTAATCTGATTCAATCATTATGGAAAGCAATAAAAAAACTGATATGTGACGTTCCAAACATTGATGTACCAGAATACCCTTTCATGTTTTCTTACTAGGGTTCCCTGTAACCTAAGCAGAGCAACAAAAAATAATTCATATCCTCCTTACAACTCAACAGAATATAGCTAAACATTGGATATTTATAACCTCACTTACATTGCCAGTTATCTTGCAATCCATTCATACCCAATAGATATACAAACCAAAATTTACAACAGTTTATAAACCTTCTACTACAATAACTAAAACATGAAATAAAACTAACTAGATGGTCCAGACCAACACAAGTGAGTAGGGTGGGGTGCTAATGAAATATGTAACTCACACTTAAAGAAAAAAGGGTTGAGGAAGCAATTTTTCCTAAGCTAACATAGTGCAATAACAATGTGCGTAAACACTCATGATGGAGGTTATTGGATACTCTCCCATTGTTCAGAGCCATAACAAGGACAGACTCATTAGCACATATCTAATTTATACTTAAAAACTCACTTTTATGTACAATAGAAAATGTGTTCAAACGGATTCTAAATTCTATCTAATAAACTATTTAAAAATAAATTTATTTACAAGAAGATTTACTTCAATCTAAAAGGGATCTATTTGTATTAAACATATAATAAATAGTAGTGCCACAATTTAAAAGGTTACAAATGTTAAAACATATTAAAGGAGGAAAAAGAGTAAATTGTGATATTTATGTATAAATGGCTAAAATTATCCAGAAAATACTTAAACCACAATAAATCACAAAAAAATGGCAATGCTCTAAATCACTTTTAAGACCGTGAAGTAGTAAAGTGTTGAAATTAAAAATCCACCCAAATTCAGTCTGGCCCATTTTTCTTATTATGTGCTCACCTCTCCAATTTTCCCGTATTTTCTGAATCCCTAAAAATGAAAGATTCTTCACATCTTAAAATGTAGTGATAAGCTGTGTTTTTCAAATCCATTTATGATGTTTCTTACATGTTCTTGTATTCTTGCATATAAACATCTTCTGGCTCTTCCCACATAATAGAGGCCGCAGAGACATAAGATTACATATATCGCCCTCTTTGGATAACATGTGATTCATTCTCTAATCGGGAAAGTCGCTTTGGAATCCTGGGGGTGGTTAAAAGTTGTTGTTTTTTAAATAAGGATATTTTTGTATGCCCCACATAAACTACCTCCATAAAAACTTATAAAAATGATAAACAAAATGTTACTTACTGGAGTGTCCTTTTATTAGTAATGGTTTGTAGGTGAAATTACAGACTAGGACAAATACACTTCTATATACACTGGTATATAAAATATATGGGATTTTTTGTTATGCTGAGCGCTCTCGGCCAATAAAAATATTCCTAACTTACCTTGACATTAAAGAACATTTCAGGCACCATTACCACAACCCTCTGTGCTAGTTATAGTCTCAGGAGTACCTTTCTAAGGGTAATCTGTCGAACCATATTAGCACCATTTGATATTTACTTGGGTCCTGCAGGATGCCCACAGTGCCTCTAGTCTCAGAGGTGGGGAATCCAGGTGTCATTTTGTTCAAAACCGCTACTCATTGAACTGAATTAAAAATATCAGTTCCAAAATGACCACATATCTTGGTTGTACTAACTGAAACGCAGATGTCAATATTAGGTTTGTGAGCACCTCAAAACGAAATCTCTCAGAATTTAATGTAAATTATGCCATTAAACAAAACATTGAAAACCTGTATTACACATTATCCTTTTTTTTTATTTTTTAAATGTATTGAATGCATAACTCTGGGAGGTACATTTTACACTATATAAAGAGATCTCATTTAAAATTGCAATCCAGTTTAGTCCTGGCACAGCCACGGCACACATTGAATTGGAGATGAAGAACACTTTATTTTTTTTCATTCTTTCCTCGCTATGTTCAGTTAAAAGAAAAGGGCAGAGCTTATAACAATGATTGACAGGGTACAAAGATGGTGGCACTCAGTCGAAAATAGAGCTAAATACGGCAGTGCTTATTTCTAAATTTATTTTCTTTTTTTCCTGTTCTCACACACACACATATTTGTTAAATACAGGTTGATAAGTGAACATAATATCTAAAAATCCTGGGGAATGACAGTTTCCCTTCAAACTGATTAAGGTAAAGTCATTGTCGATTAGCTTCCCAAACCGATAACAGGACATGAAATCAAAGATTCTAAGTTGACTAGGATGAGTATAATTAAATTACTGTGTAATATAGAGTTTCTCATTGAGTGTCTGTGTGGCTGCTAACAGCTTTTAGTAAGGCTTGTTGGGATTTTTGAAACTTGGCCATCGTCCTTTCAACTGAAAGAAGGATTGCAAAATATTAGCATTTCTCAGAACAGCAGGAAATACCATGAGATATTTGATCTTCGAAGACTCCTGCCTGATCTCTGTGGGTTATCCATCCCAAAACGTAAAATTTCGTGTGACGCTTCCAAAAAAGAATGTGTCTATCGTGTACCATATTTATTCAGTTGCCTAAAAAGCTTTTATGTGAAAACAAGGTGGATCAGATAAGACAAGACCATGCAATGTTTAGAGTTCTGTTATATTAATAATGTCTTATTTGCCGTTTGTGTTTGGGAAAAGACTAAATATTCTAAATAACCCCACATTTTTTGCCGCATTGCTTTCCTGGACAACTAAATGGCAATTCAAATTTTATAATAATTTATATTCGATGGTCTGCTTTGAATATATAATATTCTATATAAAACTGAATTGGTAGATTTACATAAACATAGGAAATTCTTTTGACGTGATGGCATTGCCGCTATCCTCACTTGCATGTCAGTGGCTAAGTTAGACTCAATTTAACTTAAGAAATACGTTTAATTTGTGACTTCAAGCACATCTGTTAAAGCAGCTCTGTCTGTCTGCTAGCGTTTTCTTGACATAAATCAGTTTAAGGATGTGAGCTGCTGACAGCAGGGAGGGATCTGATGGACACTTGAGGCTGTGATTGAAACTAGTGTTTACAAAGTTTTTAAAGTAATAATGCATCTTTTTTTTAATGACCTTGATCTTGTTAAATAGTATGCTTTATTATTCCAGTGCTGTATAAACACCCACTAGTGGCACATCATAATGTGACACTGTGCAGACCAAGGAAAGAGACTGTCTGCAGTCTCTTTTCACACTAAGTGCTTAATAATGGGCTATCAGTGAGTGCTGTTCTATGGTTTACCCTGTCAGACTAGACTTCAGACTTCTGCGTCTGGTGGGAAGTGACATATTTTCCTGCATGTTGAACTCTGAAAGATTTGAAAAATAATAAAGAATATATATTTATACCTTCACACGTTCTTTCTACCGTGTGCCTTCCTACCCTGTATATCAAGGGAGGAGAGATGTTTATGTATCTTCTTTACTCCCTCCCTGAGTGCTGTTTAGATCTTTACCTCTGACTCTTCGATGCTCCGTTTCATATATTCACGATTGAGCACCTACCTATACCGGAGTGTAGTTAGACGAAGAGCTTCCTGCATTTTGATTGCTAGTGGTTGGTTAATTTAAATTTATTTGGTGTAAATAATTTGATCTTGTATATTTTTATTGGTTACAAAACTTCTCCCATTCCAGTCCTGCAATCCAGGAATCTGGAAGGCACAGCTATGAGGTTGAGTATGCCATGGGTTGTCAGCCAGTCAACCATATAAGCTCATGCCTTGAGTGAAGATTTTCACTATGACATTGGGTCATTTGGGAGGTATGAAGTCTGTTTGTTTTCAAAGGTTCATAATCTTTGTGAAAAAAACCATGATGTCTAGCCTCTTGGGGTCTTTGCATGTTACTTGCCTGGTTGATGCTGTAAATTTGCCCATTTTCTACAGCTGTGTTAGATCCATCTGAGAGCCGAGATTTAATACTTTAACTTGATTTAATTCTTTTGGATACACTTTTCAACTGATCACAATCTGTTAGAAATACTTTTCAAATGAATTTGTCTACAGAAATCACAGTTAAACAACCACTAAAGTCAGTTGGGCAGACTAAATGGGCCGAATGGTTCTTACCTGCCGTCACATTATATTTTAACTTTCAATATATATAGATTGGTAGGTTATGCACTACTCTAGGGGGTGTCTTCTAGACAGCCACTAGAGGTGCTGCTACTTTGCTGACGAAGAAACGACACCACCTCGATGATATCACTCACGAAGGGAGTGGGTGCACTATAACTTTAGGCATACATTAATAATGTGACTAGTGACAGGGGCACTATAACAAGAGACAGGGGGCACTATAACTTTAGAAATACAGGTTTGTTTGTCTATATGCATTTTTGTAGATAAATCATTTGAAACGCTTATCCAAAATAATTAAATATAGGCCTATGTATGTTATCATGTGCAAAGTGGCCTTGGAGAATCCAACTAGTCTAGTTGTTTTTGAACCAGAGTAATGATGCCCTTTTAGAAAATTTTGGCCACAAACACAGGTAATAGACCTGAAGTTGGACCATGTTGAGAATGTATTTAGGTTAGATTTAATGATGAGAATAGTCTCTATTGGAATAATGACCATGTATGTGAGCAGTGATTCCTGGTTAGAAAGCATCCAGTTTGCATGATATTAGTTTGATTTCAAACGACTTTTTTTATTTTTTATTTTTAAATTTTTTTATTTTTGCAGTGCACAGAATGTTACAAGCAGGCATGAGGTGCCCCGAGAGCAGTCCTCAAGCTTTTTCTCGCAAAACATGCGGGACATTTGATTACAAGGCACATTTTTATATTATTGTTAGCTTATACTTTCAGTTTGTGAGAGTAGTGTTACACGTTAATTAGGATAGAACAGTGTTTAAACTAGTCTGTGGGCATCACAGATTATGCATATATGAAAGGAGAAGAAGAAATAGACGTAAGCGTTAGACATGCAAGTTGCCAGGCATGCAGGTATATCATCGTTATGTTAATAGGTGACAGGCTAACTGGGAGCATGGCCTATGTGTACTGTAATGCATAATGCAAGTGTGGGGATGAATATTATGAGTGCAAAACAATTAAAATGGGTACGCAGTGAATGTTACTTTAACCCCTTAAGGACACATGACATGTGTGACATGTCATGATTCCCTTTTATTCCAGAAGTTTGGTCCTTAAGGGGTTAAAGTCCTCTGTCAATGGAAAGTCTCTGCTCAAGAGGTGCCAATGTGGTATGGACAGCGTCTATTGTATTAGAGGCTTTGGACTTCTACCTCTGTGTCCCGGTCTGTGAGTGCTTGGTCATCCGATACCCAGCGCATTGAAGGGTGTTGGGATCGTTTGAAAGTCCTGCTGAGGCTCTGCCATGAGCAGCGTTGTGGGTTCCAATTGCTGTCTCATCTGCTCGTCGCCGTGGGAACCTGCGTGGACGTTGCGGGTAAGTGTATTCTCCGTTTGGTGCTCTGGGGCTCTCCATGGCGTCGAGCAGGATCGGAGCTGTGAGTGAAGCTTGCTTGTTACTGGTTGCTGTTCGGGTCTCCGCTTCATGCAGGATCTGGGGTGAGCTTGTGGGCCAATTCGGGCCAGGGTCGCAGTGTGGCTTGAGCTTTTGCCTGTTTGTGTTTAAGCAGGTGGAATCTCCATCTTCGGCGCCAACTTTTAGGTCCCGTCAGACGGGGGCCTATGCGGTTGCGGTGGGTATGTGCTGGTCTTTTGATGTGTTTACGCACTGGAGCTTTAGTGTGTCGCTCCTTGCTCGCCATTTGTGCTCAGAAGCCGTTGAGTATGGCTTCGAGTTTGTCCATGATGCTGTGCTTGTCCGTGTGGCAGTTTTGAATGCACGTGGTGTCCGCCATTGTGAGTGCCCGTGTAGCATGGGGCTGCCCTGTATGCTCTGCTGTCAGCTCGCGCTTAAGCCCTGCAGCCTGGAAGGGTTGGACCAGGATCCCCCCCGCCGGTCCTGAGAGGAGGGGGGCGGGTAATCGGCAGTCCCGTGCCCCGGGCGCAGAGGCGAGGGGAGCGGCCGTCTCCCCCCTACCCCATCCACTGTGTGCCGCAGCCTGCCGCCTTGAGTTCTCGCTTGCGGGAAACACTCCAGTCCGGTATCGGATGATTCACCAGGGCGCACCCAGCATGGGTAGCACACCCGGCTTCAATTCAGGCATGGGATCTGCTAGTATTTCCCTGTAAACAGCCTGTGTGGTGGGAGCTCATCCACCATGCTACTGCTCTGCTTACAGGTCAGGCCCTGCCCCCCCTACTCACATTTATTTAGTTTTCTGCGAGTTTGACCTATATTGGCCACTGTAACGGAGCTCCCTGTACCTCTGCCATGTTCCTAGCTGGAACAGGGGACAAACTGCAGCACTTCTGCCCACAGTCGCCGTGGCTTGACTGGGGTCCTGGAACCGCTCCCTTCTGGAGCCGAATGGGGAACTCGCTCTATCCACCCCCAGGCACTGGCCGACACTGGAACAGTGATTAGCCCTTTCCCAACCCTGGAACCAGACGACACATAGTTATGGGAGTACAAGCTGGAATGTTTTAATCTAGCTAGATGGCCTGCTTTTATACAATTTCAGACACCGTTAAGCACGCCCCTGACACTCCCACACAAATAGGATAATCCCTCTCCTGGACCCGAGAGTGGACTAGTTACAAATAAACATCTAGCATACTCCTCTGAGAGATAATTACCCGAGTATGCAAACATATAATTTAATTATCTCTCAGGAAACCAAAACAGGCAATATAACAAATCCCCAAAATACCCCTAAAACACATAAAAATCCAACAAAAGTTACATCCCCTGATGTGGTTGACCAACATATCTGGTTGACCTACATAACCAAAAATCACCCAAATCAGTTTAGGGGTTCGGGATTTTCATGGAAGTCATAATTTTGGTGCACATGGTCCTATACAAAAATCAGTGCTATCGGTCGGTCAAGTTCTGTAGTCTTTTACAGGTTTCCCTGCAGGGCCCATAGTCTGTGGGCAAGAGGCTGGCAAGCAGGCTCCTCCAGGAGCTCATGGCAAACTCGCGTGGGAAGGGGAGTCCGTCACAGCCACATCACAGCCTTCTATGTGAAGGGCTCTGGCAACACTTAAACATTGGTTTGTGCTTGATTTTTTTATTTAAGGCTTGGTGCATCTGTATTGTAATAAATACAGCAGCTCTAACAAGTGAAAAATGGCATTAAATATATTGTAGAATGCTAGAACAGTTTTATATTATGTATGATCATGGAAATTGTATTTACTTTAATTGTTCCACTAAATAACTCTGGGCAGGAGTAGATGATAATCTGTGGTTGATTAAGAGGATGGCAGTCTGAAATTATCTGGTTCATCTTTTCATTTGCATATGTTTGTTTAATATTCCTGTACATTAACCATATAACTTCAAATGTAACGGAACTTGGTATTAAATATGTCTCTGGAATAATATAATTTGCTGTGATGTCTCATTTTGAACCTGCAACTAGTTATATTTTCCCCTGGTGAGCTAATGAGACAGATGATGTTATAAGTAATGTGCAGTCATAACAACACCAATCTTATCTGACTTGCATGAAGATTCCGTATTCTCTTCTGTGGATGGCCTCATTATGTAAGACAGAAGATCATTTTATTGGTCTATCTTGGATGTACTTAACATTTCATTTCTGGCACAAACCTCTTTGAGACTGCTGGTAAAAGGCTTGAAGTTTTTATTTTTTGTATTCTGAGAAAACTGAAAGGTAAACAGAAGTTTAAAACTGGAAATATAATTTATCCAAAGTCTAGACACATTCTCATTTCATAGACCAATCTCTCGGTTAGGATTTCAAGGTGCGTTACTGGCAAATTTCTGTTTAAAAGTGTCTTGTTTAAAAAAAAAAAAAAAAAATTATATTCACTATACTTGGCAAGCATTCCTTTTAGTGCCTACTACTTGAATTGAAGGGAGTAGCTAACTAGCAAGTATACAGTATAATGGTAAAGGCCAGTAACTAGCCCCCTGATCTTACCTGGTTTACAGGCCAGTTTGCCGATACATTGTGGTACCTATGAAATCTTTCTTTGCAGGGTTTAAATTCCAGTGGCTGTCACTCACAGAGAGCCACTAGAGGCACTTCTGAGGATATAGCAAAATAAAACACTATTTTTTTCCAGATGATCTCAGAGACCGTTTGGGGTTACTTTGTTTACAAGAAACTTAGTTGGGAGATACTTGCTTTCACGAGGCTGAGGATATCAACTCATGTTTTTTTTTTATAATTGATCATTTTTATTTTCATATTTTGTAGACATGTAAACAGTGGTTGGGGTTACAGAATAATGAAGGGATAGGGATAATATTGCATATCAAAGTATGTAACCTGTTCCATTGTTTTATATCGATTTTTCATTATTAATGGTTAACAGTGCCATTATTTTCTGTGGTTGGTCTCATGGCTTTACTTATACAACATATCCGAGAAGGTTAGACATGGGGTAACTTATTTACACACATTAACTTACATAAACATATTTACAGCCTATGGTTCTTTTTGTGCTGTATTGTGAATGGCTTTTGGTGTCTCCTCTGGGTGGGCTATCAGTTGGGTCTATATTGGGGATATGCTACTCATCTCCTCTCTTTCGTGAATTTAGGATTCCTGAGATGATCTCAAATTAGGTCCTGACTTTGTTCCCGTTTGAGTGTGTACTTTGTACTTTTTCCACATGTTGTGTATTTGTACGTTTGTGAGTCCCGTGTGTCCTCGAGCTGCTGCAAACCTTTCATATGCCACATTTGTGTACTCATATGTTTTTTTTAAATAATTTTAATGCAACCCTTGAACTTGCATGTTGTGGTAATTGTAAAGAAGTGGTTCTCAGTGAACAGTATTGGATTAGTTAATTTGGAGAAAGCCATGCATAGTCCATTTGTTTTTGCAATGGTTCTCATAGATGAGCTGTTCATTGGACACAGCAATGCGATGCTCAGCAGTTCTGTATTAATTTAAACGCCTTGTGCTTCACTTCTTAGGGTATTACATTAAATGCAGGAACTTCAAATGTGAGTTAGGGATAGAAAGATTATCGTCCGATTATTAGAACCGATATTGGGAATATTTCCAATACTTGATATTGGTCTTGTAATTTACCAATAACTTGCCTCTCCCAGTCACCGAACTCCATCTTCCACATGCTGAAACTCCATTCGAAAGCCAGTCAGGCGCCACGTCACAACCTCACATCACCCCTCCCCGTAAGACTCCACATGTGGAGCTCAGCTGAAGGCAGGGTGTTGAGACCATGAATAATCCACTGTTATGTACTGGGCTGGCAGACAGAGTGATAGGAGTGTGACTGCTGTTAGCAATTAGATTCCTATCAGTAACAGCACTACTGATGCTGGGATCGCATTGATCCATGCATGTACTGGCTGTCAGTAACAGAACTCTGCATGCTAGGAACTCACTGATCACAGCATGCACAGGCTGCCTGAGAGTGATAGAAGTGTGATTGCTGTCAGCATGTTTAGTTAATATCAGATTTTTGAAGAAGTTGTGTTGCTTTTTCAAAACTTTAAATGTATAAAGGCATTGGTTATCCGCAATCGTCCTGCAAGGCAATTGATAATGGAATAATTATATAGTTCTGGAATAATTATATAGTTTGATCCCTAATGTGAGTATCTTATTAAATTATAATTTATTGGCTTTGAAACTTGAATGGATTAAACAAAGAATGCATCTGCACCATCTTGGAGCGCTCCTAGTTTGAAGGAAACGGCATAATTTCAGCCCGACTGGCTAGACGACACTACCACAAGTTCAAATGCCTGTTATAAGGCCGCTATCAGAGATGTCCAGGTGTTGTGAGACATGCTGTTAGTTTGAAACTGGGATTTTACATTGGATAGACTAGCAAAGCGCTAGTACATCATCAGACATCTTTGCAGAGTCAGATGCTCACACTGCTATATATCATGGAGACATCCTGGGGGAGAAAAATACATTACTTCAGGTTTATCCAAAGCAAAAAGTAGTTGGCAGGGGATGGGACATAATCTGTGAAAATCGTTATGCCTTAGTGTTTGTCACTGGCAACTTGATTCAAAGTATTTTTAGAGGTTATGTAATAATTGAGCTGAGGAATGTGACTTAGTATATAGAATGCAGGGCCAGTGCCTCTCTTTTTTCTTCAAAATAAAGTACGAAGTCTGTCTCTATAAATCTCATATTTAAATGGACTTGAAAGGAATGTTTAAATTGATCTGTGGTCACATTAAAAATTCAAGCTACAGCTGACCTTATTTTGTGTGTGTGTTATATCGATTAAATAGATCATTCTTACCAAAATGTGTGTATACACACACCCATACCTGCTAATTCCAAGATTCCAGTGAGCTTCTAGGATGTGTCTGACACCTCTCATTGGGTACTGGTGCTCCAATTGTTTTCTATTTTTTTCACATGAATAAACCAGAGTTGATTTTGTTACCTTGCCAGATAGCTGCGTTCATGTTTTTCAGGACGTTGCGGCTGTTCATACTGCGGAGGAAAGAGCAAGTCGGCTATGACCTCACTTGGAGTATTGTACACAGTACTGGAGACCGGATCTTCAGAAGGATATTGATACATTAGAGAGGGTTCAGAGAAGGGCTACTAAACTGGTTCATGGATTGCGGGATAAAACTTACCAGGAAAGGTTAAAGGATCTTAACATGTATAGCTTGGAGGAAAGACGAGATGGGGGGATATGATAGAAACATTAAAATACATAAAGGGAATCAACACAGTAAAGGAGGAGACTATATTTAAAAGTAGAAAAGCTACCACAGTAAGAGGACATTGTCTTAAATTAGAGGGACAAAGGTTTAAAAATAATATCAGGAAGTATTACTTTACTGAGATGGTAGTGGATGCATGGAATAGCCTTCCAGCTGAAGTGGTGGAGGTTAACACAGTAAAGGAGTTTAAGCATGCGTGGGATAGGCATAAGGCTATCCTAACTAATATAAGGCTAGGGACTAATGAAAGTATTTCGAAAATTGGGCAGACTAGATGGGCCGAATGGTTCTTATCTGCCGTCACATTCTATGTTTCTATGTCTATGTTTCTATGATTTTTGTTTGGCTACTTTGCCTCAAATGTGAAATTCACTTAGAATTTTTCCTTTAGTAAATAACACTTGATAGTTACGAACTATGAAAATTAAAAGCAACAGATTGAAAGCAAAGGAAGACTTTGTACTAGGATCCTAGGTTTCTGCGGTTTTTGGGCTGCCCCTATTAATATGTGTGGGTCTTATTAATTTCTTGTAAATCAACCCTTGCCTCCTGTGTGCTATTGAAATCCATGTTATTTTCAGTTTTTGTATCTGTACTTGCTTGCCCTTATGAAAGATCTGACGTTTTTACCATTCATTTTCAGAATCTTGCCTTAGTTTGTGGGATCTGGAGCTAGCTAATCAGATTGCAACCACATGTGAACAACCACCACGGAATGGCTTTGAAGAGATGATTCAGTGGACAAAAGAAAGGAAACTTTGGACTTTTCCAATTGACAATGAAACAGGTGAGTGAAACTGAAAGGTTTATTTGGTGCCAACAGAGGCAGTATTGATATGGGCCAACTCTCAGACAAGTCCTATAAATCGTATGGGTTTCCTCTAGCCAAACAAGAGTAAACTCATCCCGATGGGGACACAAATGCAAAGAACCCAGAGCCTTTTGATCTTTCAGCTGGTAAGTAGATAGCATCCTAATTTCCATCCTTACTGTGATTGTCATATTTAAGCATACCAAATTAGGGAGCTATCTACTAAACCAAGCATGTCAAACATGCGGTCCATAATGAATATTTTTGCAGCCCGTCTGACCTGGGGCCGCTTTCAGCTGTGGCTGCGACCAGCCGCAAGACAGGAAAAATATTTCCTGGTTCTTGCTCTTCCAGCCACAAGAGAGCAGAGTGGCTATGTGTCTGCTGATCAGACCAGAGCAGCCACTCCCCCTTCCCTACCACTCGCAGTGCCAGAGGAGTGTCTGGCCTGATTGAGCAGGGCTGGAGCTGGAGAGCGGACAGCTAATCGTAAGGTAGGAGAAGAGGGGCTTGGGGACAGTGTATTTATTTGAGGAAGGGGGAGCAGTGTATTTATTTGAGTAAGGGGGGAATTGTATTTATTTGAGAGAGGGAGAGGGCCACTGTATTCATTTGACGGAGGGGGCCAGTGTATTAGAGTGGTGGTGGGGGGCAGTGTGTTACATTGGGGGTGGAGCAATGTATTAATTTAAGAGAAGGAAGGGACAGTGTATTAAATTGGGGAGGGGTGGCAGTGTAATAATGGGAAGATGGGAGGAAGGGAGGAGCAGTGTATTAATTTGAGGAAGTCAGGGGGCCAGTGTATTAAACTGGGGAGGCAGTGTATTTGAAGGAAGGAGGGGGCACTGAATTTATTTGAGCAAGGTAGAGGGCCAGTGTATTTATTTATTTGAGGGAGGGGGCCAGTGTATTAGAGTGGTGGGGGGCAGTGTGTTAAATTAGGGATAGGGAGGGCAGTGTATTAAAGTGGATTGGGGGCAGTCTATTCAATTATAGTGGAGGGAGGAGGGGCAGTGTATTAGATTAACGGGCAATGTATTAGAATGGGTGAAGGGGGCAGTGTATAACAGTGGGGGGGGAGCAATGTATTGGATTTGTGGGCAGTGTATTAGAATGGGAAGAGGGCAGTGTGTTAGACTGGGTCTGCATGGAGGCATTGAACACTCCCCATGGAGATGCTGTTTGGCCGCACAGCTTATTGCCACACATGCACGATAGCCTCCCAATGCTTTCCTTTTGAAAAGCATTGGATTGGCTGAAATCATCAAGTTTGATGATCTCAGCCAAAGTGAAGAACACACTCTTAGAACCTCAAAATAAACAGGATGATGTAATTTGTTTTTTACAGCTGTGCTATAGCATACATTCCCCATTTCAGTCCCATTACCAAACATTTGTTAATATATCAAGGTAGTTGCACTGAAACATTGGTTATATGCAAATGCACGTCTCCTTAAAATAAATTAGCTCTTTTATTTACTTTGAAGCCCTACAAGTGTGAGGACGTCCAGTGTCAGTTAGGCAACTTTTTTTTACACTGTTCTTCTCAAAATAAACCTATGTTTCTATGAAAACTGGCGTTTTTGTTTTTTTTTGCGGCCCACATAAACGTAAATCTTGTTTATTTGGGCCCGTGTTAGCCTTTGAGTTTGACATGCTTGTACTAAACAGCCAAAAGAGCAAAAAAAAAAAGCCATTTTCTCCATTTTGCTCTTTCACTGATTTAGTGGATAACTCCATAATTTGCTATCATTATCAAAACAAATGGATCCAAAATGATTTGTTTTAAAGTCATAGGGATCCATTCGTTTTGTTTCATTTTTTGTTGATTTAGAAATTTGGACGCTTCTGAATTGCCAAATTCAGATGAATTTGGACAAAATACGATTTGCATCAAAATGAATTGCACGTTTACCGAGATTACCCTTGGGAGCAATGTTAACACTACCTTTTCACCAAAAAGACAGTGTTTACTGTAAAAAGCCTGCAGGGACTGACTATATTCACCAGAACTAGGCTGTAGTTGTTCTGGTGACTATAGTGTCCCTTTACGATACAGGGAGCATAAGGAAAGGAAAACCAAATGAAGAAAAAATGGCAAAGCTGCTTTCACTTTAAATTGCTATCAGTTTAAAATACTTGTTAATCGTTTGTCTATTGTGCCTGGTGTTTAGAGTTTTAATAATTAAAAAGCCACTCTAAGCAGTATAGTCACTACAGCCCACATTAGTTGTTTTAATACCAGAAGTCCCTGCTTTAACTATATGTGTGAAGATGAACAAACCTAAGTCCCATGGCCACCTGCGGTTTGTCCTTCATATTTGGCATGCACTAAGTCACTAATTAGTGGATTTTCCAGGAATTGCATTCAAGGTCCCTTTTTTATTTTTTCATTTTTGCCAGACTATAAGAATACAAATCGTATGGTATACTAAATTTAAAAAGCTCTTTAATTTTAAAAGCCTGCCCAAAATGAATAAACAAAACAAATATATATTCTGAATAAGGTAATAAAATATTTTTTGCAACAAAAATGGACAGGGTAGTCAGGAGTCTTTAAATTGTCAAAAATTGTATGCACCCTATAGACACCCTTTGCAGTTTTTAGCAATTGGAGAAGGTCACAGAAATTCAGAAGAAAATTAAAAAGCAAAAAAAAAGATTGGCTTGTTTCTCCCAATATAAAATGACAATAATCATAACATTAGATCATTAGCTTTATACATTTTTTTAAAATTTACTTTCTAACATTTTCTGTTTAGTTTTAGATAAGGCAGTCTGAAATCAGTCCAAAATAATTGAATACATGTATGGTTTGACTGTAACACAAAAGATGAGTAGAGTCAAAATAGAGGATGCAAAATAAAGTGTTAAAATTATTTAAAATGTAAATGAAATAAGGTGTTAAAATTATTTAAAATGTAAATGAAATGTAAAAAAAAGGGGGGGGCGTGGCCGACAACGGAGCTGAACGGTCACACATCTGTGGAGCTCTGCTTCGACCCCACATATAGAGAGTCTTAACACAGATAAATCAGCTACAGATCCTCTCAACTTACCTGCCACCCGACAATATGGGGCGCAAACACAAAAAACAACTCCATGTGGAGCGACTTGCGGCACCCGACATTCGGATCGCCTTCCAGAGGCCTACACAAACACGACCAGCAAAGATGGCGCCGGAACCGCAGATAGCGCTGGAGACCTCTGAGGAGTCCCAAGAAGAGAGAGACTCTCAGACCTCACTACAACCCGGGGACACCCCTCACAAGCCTGACTCAGAGGATGATTCCCCATCCACAAAGAGGGACATCAAAAGGCTGCTAACAGACCTAAGACAAGTCTGGACAGCCGACTTAAAGGAGACCAAGGCTGAAATTGGGATCCTACAGCAGAGGATACAGGAGGTAGAGACCAGAGAGAAACGCAGAGACAATCAACTCCAAGAAACCACGCAACAACTGGACAAACTCACCGAACAGGCCCAACGCCTGCACAACACGGTGGTTTTGGCTTGAGTCCAGACACCGCCGCCACAACATACGCATGAGGCATCCCTGAAACGGTGGGCGGAGAAGACCTACTACCTTTCATCTGGAGGCTTATCTCTTCAATGGGCCTCAGGTGCACCCCAGACACCCCAATAATCTTAACCGCCTTCCGTGTGTGCAAATCGCCATCAGCACCTGCAGGTGCCCCCAGAGACACGATAGCCACAACCAGAGATATAGCAGCGAGAGCCACCATCATGGCCAGCTCTAGAACACTGGGGTCACTGAAATTTGAGGGATGCAAAGTGGCCTTGTACAGCGACCTCCCCTTTTCTGTCCTTGCCGCAAGGGGACGACTAGCACCGGTCGCTAAGAAACTGAGAGAGTACTTTATCCGCTACAGATGGGACACAGTGGGCTCACTGGTGGTACATCAGAGCACCGAGGCACTCACTCTGACCCCTAACGATGATCCAGAAACTCTCCTCAAAAGCCTGGGCACGACAGTCTCCAAGCACGACAAGAGAACTGAGAAACACAATACTTAAAGGACCACTATAGTGCCAGGAAAACATACTCGTTTTCCTGGCACTATAGTGCCCTGAGGGTGCCCCCACCCTCAGGGTCCCCCTCCCGCCCGGCTCTGCAAAGGGGAAAGGGGGTAAAACTTGCCTTTTTCCAGCGCTGGGCAGAGAGCTCTCCTCCTCCGATCCTCCTCTTCTCCGCCCCGTCGGCTGAATGCGCACACGCGGCAAGAGCTGCGAGCGCATTCAGCCGGTCACATAGGAAAGCATTCATAATGCCCTCAATGAGACAGCCACTAGAGGAAATAGGGGAAGGCTAAACCCATTCATAAACATAGCAGTTTCTCTGAAACTGCTATGTTTATGAAAAAATGGGTTAACCCTAGCTGGACCAGACACCCAGACCACTTCATTAAGCTGAAGTGGTCTGGGTGCCTAGAGTGGTCTTTTAAGCGGACTCATTGACCGTGACCCCCAGAGGCTGGATGTCGCTGAACTTTTCACGCCACTACCGCTAATCCGCATTCACCCACTGTTGTTTTAACTGTTTAAGAGTTTATATTGATATTAGGAGTTTCCAAAATCTTAACCCACTAAACTACACCAAGCGCCTTAACACCGAACTGCCCTTACAACCATAGAACAGGGCAACAAGGACACCAAAGTTAAGCAGCCTCACTAAGCAGTGTTCTCCACATAAAAGTAGCATTATACAACCTGATTCCACACAATGCCAGCGTACATTTGTCACTGACACTTTGATTGAGGATGTATAAGGATTATGGCTGTGTTTGTTTGCAAACCCAAAGCATTGATATTTGTTCTTGCTATAACCCATATAATGAGAATTGTATACTGTGTGTACAAAATCCAATAAAATACAAATTAAAAAAAAAAAGTTTATGATAAAGAGGATTTTCTCTTTTAGTCCTTTAATAATTAAATATTGCGATAAACTCCAGTGCAGTCCATGAAATTTATGTAAAATGTCAAAACTCAAAGAAATATTGAAAGTTGCTCTAAATATAAACCCATACAATTTGATTTATAAATCTATATAATGCTTTTTAAAATAAAGGCCTTTTCATGTTCCGCATGACAACAAAATAACCTTGTGTCTTTATGTAACTTTTGTGGAAGTATCAGAAGGTAAGCTGCATTGATTATGACTGATCAGGTGAGTCACAGCATCCAAGGTTGTGTGTTACTGAGTTCTCCACATACAAGCTGACAATATAATAATGTGTGCAGTTCTGCCGCTGCTGCAACTGTGGAGACAGAATTTTCGCAAAGAAAAGATTTGCAAGTGAACAAAATTATAGAGGACACAATTGCCATCAGGAATGTGTGTGGCTGTTTGTTATGCTTATTTTCTGTGAGCAGCAGGAATTATTCCGTGTAGAAAGCGTGTTCTAGGCCTGCAGCCCCCATCCAATTACAAGTGTGTCCGAGGGTTCATTGTTAAATGTGCCATTCGGTACCAGAAAAGTGGAGGGAGGTAGTTCTCACTGTGCGTCTTGGTGGGAGATAACACAAACGAGCATGTAGTATGAAATTATAGTTCCTGCTAAGAGACAGTCCTTTAAATCAAATTGCAGTACAACTCATGCATAAGAAATGTTAAATAAAGGTTTATTTGTGAAAAAGGGAAAACTTTTCAAGCTAATGATCAAACTTTAAATTTGGTAATCAGTAGAGATGGAACACATACCGCCCTGGATTCTAATGTTTGGTTGTGACATATGCCACATAGTGTGATCTGCAATTTCATATATGCACATTGAATGAGAATGTGGCACATTAAGAACAATCCTTGCATAAACCAGCACAGAATAGGTTCACCATAGGAGGGGCTTGCTCGTTTGTAATTTTTTTTCACTCTCTATTGACTGTAATTTTTGTTTACTTTCTGCTGACTTTTTTGGATGGATGTTTTGCCTGTGATATACTTTAGATAGGACACATTTGACTCTTCCGATATAGGTGGTTGTTAAAGCGCACATATAGTTTTAAGCATTACCTGTTCTTGTAGTAGTGCATTATACACTCTTTTGTCTTGAAGACCTATATTGCTAGGTGTGTGGCCACCCATGGGGGGGTTAGGGGGGGAAACCCCACCACTACCCCTTCAAAACCTCCCATCCCCTCTTCTCTTATCGTTCCTGCACTCACTACACTCTTCTTAACCCTTCTTCCCCCTTCCTTTTTTTTCCCCCTCTCTCCTCTTTCCCCTCCCTTTCCCTCCTTCACACCCATCCCTTCCCTCACATGGCGAATGCTGTAGCACAAGCCAACGCTACACAAAACACACACATGGAGTCTGCCCAACAAAGGCAACAACCACATAAAAATATCTAACAGACATCAGACAGACTCTTCCTGACACACTATACATATACAAATATAGTTAGAAATCTCAACAAGACCGCCACCTCTTACGACATGAGGCAATAAGAGGACAACTACAACCACGGTTACGAAATGCTGAGCTGCACAACGCTGACAATTATCCGAGTTGTGATGTTATAGTCCCTAGCTACTCTTCCATCTATCTGTAACTTCTACCCAAACCATTTACTTTATTTACTCCTTAATGTCAAAGAATAACCTAGGCCATGTTGGCTTGTAGGAGCATCCAGTGTATCTATTTGTACATCACTTCAAGTGTACCCTCGATATGAACTGCTGTTTGTACTGTCTGCACCTATGTTATGAGCTGTATTCACAAATGACACGCTGTAAATGTTAGATACTACTGTGACTGTATTTTCCCTGATATGAACCCACTTCCCTTTCTTTATTCTTCAATCTCTGATTCCAGTAAAACAATTACTAAAACTATAAAGAATTTATAAAAAAAAATATGCATACATTCCTATCCAAGAATCCAAAATATGCATGAAGGCCTATATACAATCTACTCATACATATATACATATACAGTTGTAATCAAAATGATTCAACCACCCATTGAAAATCAGGTGTTGTCTCAAGCACACCTGATGCAACTAATCAAGGGCTTTATTAGTTACACTAGGTGTGCTTGAGTTGGAACACTTTAAGTATTTGAACTGGCTAAGGGTTTGTTGAGTGTCACATTGAACTTCATGTTACAAATATCGCGAGAAATGGTCCACAAAGTTAAGAGAAGAGATCATCGCCCTTCACAAAAAATGTACAGGATTCAAAACGAAGGCATTGAATATTCCTAGAGACATAGTTGGAGGCATAGTTTGCAAGTTCAGAGTTGAAGAAACAATAGGTTATTTCTGGTAGAACTTTAGGTAAATATGTTTTGCTTAATTATTATTATTATTGGCATTTATATAGTGCTAGCAAATTCCGTAGCGCTTTATAATATTTTCAAAGGGGGAGATTTAACAATAAATGAGACAATTACAAAAACGTACAGGGACAATAGGTTGAAGAGGGCCCTGCTCATACAACCGTTAATCCCCTCCCAAACTACAGTTTTTCCCTTTTCACCTAAAATTTGTTCTAAATGTGATGTCAAAAATTGGGCTACTGTTAAAGGACCACTCCACACCTATCAAACATTTCAGCTTGCTGACTGCTATAAATGTGAGGAGTATTCTATCTTAATTGCACTTTGTAAAATGTACTATTTCTATGGGAAAATGTCAATTTTAGAAATCAATAAAGTAACACCTGTTTCACAGCCAGGGAGGTTCTATTCCTCCTTCCGTTGACTCCATTAAGCTAACATAAGTTTAAAGCTCGCTCTGCTAGAGTGCGCCTGCCATTGCTTCCCCCACTCATAGTGAGCCTGAGCGAATGCATCCACAGCGCTCATTGTTCGTTGGGTCCTTGGCTCCTGCTCCCCTGGCTGTCCCTAGCTCTCCCCTTGCCACGTGCTTACGACTGGGAATCAGATTAATTGTCCATTTCCACGGCACAGATTGAAAGGCATAAGAGCTGCAGCTTTTTATATATATATATATATATATATATATATATATACCCCCTATGACAATATGTATGCATGTTTTCACTGGGTGTATCTTTACTAAATAGTGATTTATTTATTTATTTCATGCGGATTGTTCGTTTTACATTTTTGATGTTAAACGCCATGTGTTCCTATAAAGCACTATTTATGGTATATGCTCAACAGTGATATAGATTCCTATATTAATACACATTTCTTTTATTATATTTTAGCCCGGAATTCCCCTTAATGCTAGCATCTTGTCTGTCTAAATTTATCTTTTAATATATATATTTTCTCCACTGATATCTGTGTTTTAAGAGAGTTTGAAACACATCTATTTAATTTCAGAGTTTGTCTGATTTTATTAATTTTAAATACATTTTTGAACGAATATTTTTTATTTCTGTTCTTACCATTTTGACAATTTGAAATGAGTGGCAAAATTTATATTCTCTATAGTCTCGCATCCTGTATGACATTTCAAACCAATGACTTGTGTTTTGATATTAACTTTTTACTATAAATTCAGAAAGGAATGTCTTTCTACAAGAAAAAGCAGACCTGAGCTTTATTTGAACAATCTTTCTCTTCATCTCATTCCAGGTTTTGACGAGGAGCAGAATGTAGAATTTCATGAGCACATATTCCTGGACAGGTATCTGGAAGACTTTCCAAAGCAGGGACCCATTCGACATTTCATGGAGCTTGTGGTTTGCGGCCTTTCTAAAAACCCATACATTAGTGTCAAGCAGAAGAAGGATCACATAGATTGGTTCCGGGATTACTTTGAGGAGAAAAAAGACATTCTAAGGGAGAGTGACGTTTACGTCAACTGAACAGGAAACAGAGAGGCACTGTTAGTATCTTGGATTATAACAAATAACACCAAACTCTGGTTCATTTTGGACACTATTCCAGTCCACAGTGTTACCAAAAGCATACAAGGGTCTGTTCACATGCACACAAGGAATGACATTGCTCACTGATGTCCTGTGGTTACCTAATTGATTTGCTTTTAAAATGGATCTGTCACCTTGAAAAAAAAATAAAAAATCAATCAATATGTTTTTTTTTTGTTTTTGTTTTTTTGGTGATATCCTTTTTCAGGTCTATCATTATTTTCATGTTTACAACAAATAAAGAAGTAATGATAAAACCTGTAAAACGTAGGAAAAGTAATATTAAAGCAGTAGTCACAAATTCAAAGTGAAGAGCTGGTTAACTATTCACTTAACTGATACTTTAATTACCCTTTACCGATGTTGGGCCGTGCTATGCTGCCCTACAAAAGGAGGGCTTTAACGCTGTTAGGGCAGCATAGCACGCCCTAATGATTGGGTCTTTCCTTAACCCCTTAAGGACACATGACTGTGTGACTTGTCATGATTCCCTTTTATTCCAGATTTGGTCCTTAAGGGGTTAAGGATCACATGACTTGGATCGGACTTGGGGTCCTTAAGTGGTTAAAAATTACCTGCTACCTGTCAAGGCTCTCAGATAAGAAAAAACAGGGAAGGTGAAGAAAAATGATTTCTCTGTATCTTGCATAAATTTTGTACTTTAAGCAAGTATAAATATATATAATTTTGTGCTCTGTTAAAGTTTTTTTTTTTCTTCAAAAGACAGACCCAGAACTACTTTAATTTCTCTCTTCTTTTTAGGTTCCAAAACATTTTTCCGAGTTAACCAAATATGCATTTGATATAAAAATGTTGATTGCTAATTAAATGTCTGGAATGAAAAGCACATCTTGAAATGAAAGCAATATATTGGTGACTTTTGCTATGTGTATGGCTAATAATGTCTCTATCCTCATATTACAACCAAATGCTTCCCTGTATAAAGTGAAATGAGATCTTGCACTTTAGCCATATCATAAAGAATGGAAGCAGAGTTAAAGCTGTTGAAGGGACACTATAGGCCACCCAGCTTATTGAAGTGGTCGGAGTGCAGTGTCCCAGGTCCCTTAAACACTGAGCATGTAATTATTGCAGGTTTTTATAAACTGCTAGGGTTAACTCCAATTCAAGCGACTGTCTACCAGACAGCCACTAGAGGGACTTCCGCATCATAACTGACGCTGAATGTCCTTACGCTATCCATGAGGAATTCCAGCGTCACCGAAATCACTATCACATTACATTATTTAATGCTTTAGTATGGGGAAATCCTAATGGGAGCATGGCCATAGCCACGCCTGCATATAAGTTCTTCCCCCACCGATGTCAGGACGGGGAGGAGAGAAGGCGGGCCCGAGCCAGCACCGAGTGACATCAGCGCTGGACCCAGGTAAGTGACAGAAGGTTTTTTTTAACCCTGTCTGTACCATGGGGGACTATGGTGGGGGGGCGTGACAGAGTGGAGGAAGCTATAGTGTGAATAAAACGAGTGTTTTCCTGGCACTATAGTTTCCCTTTAAGACCTGTAAGTGTTAAACCATTCACAGAGCGTCACAAACTAATGGCACTATAGAAAAATAGAATGTGATGGCCGATAAGAACCATTCGGCCCATCTAGTCTGCCCAATTTTCTAAATACTTTCATTAGTCCCTGGCCTTATGTCCGTCCTACACATGCTTAAACTCCCTCACTGTGTTAACCTCTTAACTGGTCCAGTTCAATGAAATTTACTTTAAAGAGTCAGCAAACGATATTATAACTCCAGTTCAGACAGGGCAAGCATTGCAAATGAAGACGAGACATAGAAACATTGTTTTATTTCTCCTCTTGTCTGAATGCTTTCTGTATGCTGCCTCATAACGAAGTCCAGGGCGCAAAGATGGAGGCGCTCAGATGCAGGATAAAGAGATGTTGATTTCTACATTTAATTTTCTTTTTCGCACCTCACAAATCCTTTACATTATTATTAATATTAAATGACCGTTCCTCTTTCATTAGGCAGGTATATCAGTCACACAGGTGCATTTTAGGAAAATAGAAATATTTACAAAATAATACTTTGCAGGTGGAGCGTCGGCATAAAACGTGGTCTGATGTTGCTTAGCTCCAGCAGAAATGGTACGGTGAATTTGAACTTAGCAGACCTTGAAAATAAACATATTTAACACTGTGTACATTGAATAATCGGAATAGTTAATAGATCTCACTGATTGCTGGGTGGTCAAATATTTTTTCAAATAGCAAATATAATTATATAACCATGTTTTCCACATTCAATAACAATATGTACTGTGGGACGATAAATTATTGATGCGGCTCATTATTTATTTATTTTTTTGCCAACATATCGTAAATATGGTAAAACATTTTTGGCTTAATTTAATTTACATAAATATTTGCATAAAATACTTCTGTCATTGAGTTTTTTTGTAGTTAGAGCTCTATATTTTTCAGCATTCAGGATAAAAAAAAAAACTAACTTCATAATGTATAGTGGCATTCTGTCTGTCATAAACTTGTAATATGAGGACAGCAGCATACCCCAGGTCCTGCAGCTGTACCAACTACTGCTTGTAGACACTGCAAATGCTGTGAAGCATGGCTGAGAATGATGGGAGTTACAGACCACAGCATGATGAGCACAGGCATGCATTAAGCTTAGCTCTGTAGCTCTAGGGATAGAATTTTAAACTGCGCTCCTGTGAGCAGCTCTTTGATAGCACATTGCCCCTGCTGTGTTATTCAAACGTGACACTTATGTTTTTTGAAAATGTACAGTGATGCGTTAGATTGAATGATTGCTGGAAACTTTTTAAGTGAACATTCTATGCAGCAAAGACACTACGCAGAGGAAGGCAACCTTCGGCACTCCAGATGTTGTGACATACACCCCCCGGGATTCTTTGCCAGCATTCTGGCTGTAAAAGCATTATTGGAGATGTAGTCCACAACATCTTTACTGCTGACAGTTGCTACCCCTGCGCTACAGCTTGGTTGGCTGTGAGTGTGTACTCAATCCCCAGCACTTTTAGGTTGGATGATAATTGGCGTTGATGTGCAGCTGTGTTATTCCCATATTATTAAAGCAGCTGAGGAAGCATGGTAGAGCCCTGGTTTATGTCACTCTCTTTCCATACTGTTATATTAACAGGGAACAGTACCAGGACAATCTAGTGAGCATAACAGTTGGTGTATGTGTTCTGTTCATTGCTGTGTTTGTTTGTGATTTGTAGCAGACATTCAATGTATTCAATGCGGCCATTTTACACATGTCTAGCACAAACTTCACTGAGCAATTGAAAGTGCCATTTCAATTAAGGGTAGTAACTAAGATTTAGTACTCCTGTATACTATATTTTATTAGAACTTTTTAAAGTTATTTAACACCTTTAAAATTAGGCAAAGCCCTTGTGCCAGTCCTGATATTTAGTAACATTATTTATCTCGCGTTAAGTGCATTAACACCACACGTCTTGGAAAATTAAAATAATTTTGGCCTTGTATTTTTATATATTTTTTTTATGTTTATATTAGAAAATAGCAGGAGGTGCGGAGCTAGCAGCCACACTGTTCAGTCGCACTTCCCTCGAGCTTCGAGTGAAATTTCTTACAAATTCGTTCTAAAGCCAAGAGAATCTGTATTTAACCGACACACACCATTCTCGATTGCTTCCTGCAGTCATGGGGCATTGGAATAAGAAATCTAAAGCGGATAAACCCTCTACAACCGCTGATATCGGGGAGCTGCTATGGAGGCTGCAATCCACCCAGAGACCCATGATGGTGATGTCCTCATATAGGCCCTTGCAAACATCTAGCGAGTATTCCCTGTTGGATGCGGGGAACTGTGCTACCCAAGAGATTGGAAGAGTATCAGCACACATCAGAGCTGAATACAGATGCCCATGAGGTTTGTTTGACAAGCCTGGAGCAGCAGCTTTTGGCCCTGCAGTGCTCTCAGGGGCAAACCCAAGAACACTCGGTGGCCCTGGAAGATAGGAAGCGCTGGCAGATCATATGGATGGGGCATTGTGATGTCACATGATGGTCAGAGCATATGAGGGGGCGGCAATATTTGTTTACCTAGGGCGGCAAAAATCGTTGCACCGGCCCTGATGGGAGTTATGATTTAGGAGTTACATTAGTAAAAAAAAACAAAAAAAAACACATTGTTAAGGGAGTTGGGGTGACACCGTGAGTTACCGCACTGGGTGACACCAACCCTAGTACCGCCACTGGTCTGGGTGCATGTAGTTAATGACAAGATAAGGAAAACCCATATGGATAGGAGAGTAAATAAAGCACCTGATAATATAATACAATGAAAAGTATATGGTCGTAGTAGACTATGTGCAGGAGTCAAACAATCCATGCTGTCGTGCAAGGCTGTTATTCTTTGAGAATTGTATAGAAAGCAAAGCAAGCTGTGTCAAGGTAAATCAGCTAAGCTGTGAACATGTAAGAAGTACATTAGTAGAGGGAGGATGGGTGAAGGATTAAGGCAGATTCCTATGTACCGTATATATCCAATAAAGAGCCCTATCAGGCTTAGAAATGATTATTAAATATACTTAAAGAGGTATTGTATTAATTTAACCCCCTAAGGACACATCACATGTGTGACATGTCATGATTCCCTTTTATTCCAGAAGTTTGGTCCTTAAGGGGTTAATCATCTCATGCAGTGTGCATGGTTGGGATGCAGTAAGTGATATAGGGAAAGTATTGGTTTGGCTAAAATCATCAAGGAGGTGGGATGGGGGTAGGGCTCCTGCGTCCAAAATACAGGGTGCTCCACCTGGCTCTCAGGTAGCGTTTGTTCCCCTTAGTCTCAGACACCTTCCCTCCAAAAAGCGCTCTCCTGGTCTCAAAGTGGTGCAAAACCACGGACCAAGTTTGTCCAGGAACCGCACAGTCACCTCATGCCAAAAACAGTTCCATAACATTCGTGGCAAAGTACCGCTGATGACCATTCGTGGGTTTGGTTCATGCGAATGGCCGACAGGGAGCTAGCGTTCAGTTCTATTTGAATGAAGTGAAATGCTGAAGATTAGAGCATCTCAGAAGAGATACCGACAGAGGAGCTCCCACATTTGGTGCGGCGCCTGCTGGTGACACTGCTATCCCCAAAGCCGGCCAAGAATATTGTACTGGATGGAGTGTTCCGCATCCCTAAACCGAAGAAAGCACCAGAAACAGCTACAAGAGAGATGGTGATGCGTTTCCAGCAAAACAAAGACAAGGCTGCGATGCAGTCCGCACTAAAGGGGACTCCCCAATACACCTTTGAGAACATGACACTCACATTCTACACAGATCTCTCAGGAGGCACGCTGTTCTGAAGGAAATCGTTCCACCCCTTAACCTCCCTACTGCAAGAGCGTACCATATGCTACAGCTGGCATTCATCCCGGATCCTGCTGGTCACCCACAACAATACCTCCTACAAGATCCAGGACATGATGGACATGCACGCACTTCTGGGGACCCTTGGCCTCCCGCAAGGCTCCCTGCCACCTCTTGGACACAAGAAAAAGCCAACAGAAAAGCACAGATGGGACCCGGTGACCATCATCCCATTTGTTCCCTGGTGGTCTGAGTCCGATGCTTATGCTGCAGCCACAACCTGAGGTCGATTGCGGACTACCTAAACACACTTACCTATTAGTGTTTTAGAAGTGTTGTAGAAGTTTCTGATTTCTTTTAGTTAAAAAAGTTTTTTACATTTCTGGTAATGCAAATGTGCACTCCGTAATCAGATTTGAGCCTCGTTGAGGGCCCTATTATTTTAAATGTGCCGAGTCGTTACTCCTCTTAGTATGTAGTCTCCTAGTTATTGGAGGACTGAGAACCATAAGTAGGGTTCCACTAGCCTTAATCCCTAACCAATTCCATCTTGTCCCTGCTGGTTGGCCCTAATACGCAAGGGTAGCATTAAAGGCCCTAGTCAAGCTGAATTTACATCAACCCTAGCAGGCTGAACCGAGCTGATAGTACCACAGTCATAAAAAAAAATTAAAAACCTCATCTCACTTTCGACACTGAGACTGTTTATTTTATATTGTTATGTTTGCCATGTGTTGTAATACCTGTACGGCGGTCTTTATCCTATAACGGCATCCTCATAATTTGTGAGAATGAGGATCAATAAATAAAGAATTAAAAACTTTTTGAAAAAGTGGGAAACAAATTGTGCACACATTGAAAAGAAAACAAGTTATTTTGCTCAGGAATATTAAAATAATTATCTTTATATTACACCGTCCTTCCACTTATAAGATTAAATTAAGGCTACACATATAAGCACATTCATTTTGTTGGATAGTGGGGATTCATTTGTATAACAGAAACATTTTATTAAGAATTTACTTTTTTGCCATTTATAATATAAGCTTTAAATCACTCTAGGTATGTCAAGAACTAATTACAAGTACTGAGTGGCAACACATTTGTGCTGTACAATTATCTTCCTATAATTACACACCCCGCCGTGTCATATTTTCCAGTTTATTACTGAAGCAATTAATAAATGGCAATTCCTGTAATGAAAGGTTAAGAACATAAAAATTCTAATTGAACAGTAACTATAAGAATCTTTGGCAGACATTGTGCTAAAGTACTAGTAAGGTGGCTAGAAATTTGAAATGTTCTTTTTTCACTCGCCGTGGTTAGATGGAAAATGTAACTTGTAATCGCTACTTTTTCAGTGTATATCAATATTATATTCAAATAGCACCAACGTATTCTGCCATGCGTAGAAATAAAAAAATAAAAAAGTTAACCTGTGTTCTTTCCCAAATGCCTATACACATTTAAATAACTGGAGGCTTTTTAGTATTACTCCAATGGCCATTTAAGTGTAAGCTCACCTGCCACGTCAAAGCAAACCTGTACTAAGGAGTGAATATTAATGATTTAAAAACTAAATTGCAAAATTCACACTAAAGTTACCCAACTGTTGCTATTGCCGAGTTTACGATTTTTTTTTCCAAATCAGCTGTTGTTGACCTAAATTGGGTGGATATACCTGTCCACAAAGAGCCATAGACTTGGTGCATATCCTCCTCTAAGCACAAAAAGGTCTATATGTTAAAGAGCATAGACTAAGTTCAGTACTTGGTGAACCATAATCATAAAAAACAAGACTTGACCTTGCATGAGCTTTGAGACCAGGTTCAGAGATGCTTTTCCTTAAAATTCATAATTTGAATATGATGTTTTTGATTTAATTTTCTTCAACCAGGAAAAGTGATCATTCTTCTCTAGACTCATTTCTTTCTCTCTACCTCACTCTTTGACACCCTCCTCATCTTTACCAGCCTTTTCTTCCCCATTCCCATCTGTCTCTTTCTCCCTTCCTAACCATATGTTTCTTTCCCCATGAAACGTTTATTCTCTCTCACCATCCCAGCTCCATCTCTTTCTCCCTTCCTAACCATATGTTTCTTTCCCCATGAAACGTTTATTCTCTCTCACCATCCCAGCTCCATATCTATCCATACAAACGCTATCTCTCACCACCCCAGCTTCATCTCTCTCCATACAAACTCTCTTACCACCCCAGCTCCATCTCTCTCCATACAAACTCTCTCTCACCACCCCAGCTCCATCTCTCTCCATTCAAACTCTCTCTCTCACCACCCCAGCTCCATCTCTTTCCATTCAAATTCTTACTCTCACCACTACAGCTCCATTTCTCTCCATACAAACTCTCTCCCACAACCCCAGCTCCATCTTTCTCTATACACTCTCTCTCACCACCCCACCTCCATCTCTCTCCATACAAACTCTCCATCTCACATCCCAGCTCCATCTCTCAAAATACAAACTCTCTCTCTCCATGCAAACTCTTTCTCACCATCCCAGCTCCATCTTTCTCCATGCAAACGCTCTTTCTCACCATCCTAGCTCCATCTTTCTCCATACAAACTATCTCTCTCACCATCCCAGCTCCATCTCTCTCCATACAAACTCTCTCTCTCTCACAACCCCATCTCCATCTCTCTCCATACAAACTTTCCATCTCACATCCAAGCTCCATCTCTCTCTATTCAAACTTTCTCACTTCCTAGCTCCCTCTCTCTCCATGCAAACTCTCTTTCTCATCATCCCAGCTCCATCTTTCTCCATGCAAACACTCTCTCTCACCATCCCAGCTCCATCTCTCTCCATTTAAACTCTCTCTCTCACCACCTGAGCTCCATCTCTCTCCATTCAAATTCTCTCTTTCACTCTCACCACTCCAGCTCCATCTCTTTTTTTTAGACCTATTTTCACCCTCTCACAGTCCCGCCATCAAGAAATGATTATGCCTCCCACTGTGAATTGTGGCATAATTATCATCGTTTCTGCATACATGCAGCTGCAACTCAGCTCCATTGTAGTGAAATGTCCGAGGAGGTCTATTGAGGAAACAGAACGGCTTAAAATGTATTTACCCCATACGCTCCTCCAGTAGGCATCCATATATCACACCACTAGGGAGCTAGACTTTGCTGGCTGGGAAACTTAACTGCACACATCTTTGCCCTAAATATCCCTGGCTGCTGGGGTGGGGCTGGCCTTTGTGCTCCCCCTGGGTAAGCCTCTGTACGGTTACCAAGCTGGATTCTGTCTGTACAATACCCTAATATGTCTTAAATTACAAGGGCCATATACAAGTTTACAAAAAAAGCATAAATTAAGTTTATATCATATCAAAGAATAATGTTTCATTATAGTGCTCCTATAAACAGATAACCTGCTTAGCTTGACAGATGCATATAAATATAGTTATTATTGTTATTATTATCATTATGTTGTTTTTTTTCAGTAAGCCCGCTTGCACTTAGCTTGTTTTGGACAGAAGTTACTTTACTTAACCCCTTAAGGACACACGCTGGAAATATTCCGTCATGATTCTCTTTTATTACAGAAGTTGTGTCCTTAAGGGGTTAAATATCTTAATGTGCTCATCAAGTATCTGACCGCTCAGTATGAAATGGAGCGTTTCTATCAATCTCTCAAAATAGGAATAATCTCTCACTCTCTAATGTATCAAGAGTTAACTGTGGTCTGCTTCTCTGTGTTTACGGTTTATTGTAATCGCTATTAATTTTATGACATGGAAACACAGATAAATAACCATGTTGGATTTTGTGTAAGAAGGAAGTTCCTTATTAGGGATCTGTGATACTACTATAAAGCTCTTTGTTTAAACCAACGCACAATGCTTGTATCACTATAGTAACACAATGCGTTGAAGCCAGTAGGCACGCATGTTGCTAAGCTATTGATGCATCTCACTTTATACAGGAGACTGGTAACAATAGGGGGCGCGTGATCTCCAAATAATCTAGCCACAGGCTATGACTACCCCAATGTGCTCAAGGCAGGTATTATTGTCAGTTATATAAGTACACGAGTTATACAAAAGGCAATCACTGAAAATAAGTGTTAGAAAATGCTGTGGACAAGTTGTATAAAAAATCACACAAAAAAATAAGAACCCACAAAGTGATATTGTATACGTTTACTATAACATGAAAATACCCATTGCATTATATCTGAAATTTTAACCAATCAAACTCTGACTAGAGATGTCGCGAACCGTCCGCGAACTTCTCGTGAACGGTTCGCCACGAGCTGTTCGCGGCGAACTCCGGTCAGCTAACACGTCCCGGCCAATCTCCAGCAGACCCTCCCTTCCAGACCCTCCTACTTCCTGGACAGCATCCATGTTTCGCGACATCTCTAACTCTGACCTTGAATAGAAAATAACAAACCAAAAAACAAACAGAACAAAACGTATAATGAAGAGTAATTTTGGGTAAACCCTTTATATCAGATGACAATGCGTGAGGTCCAGCGTAACAACATAAGAACATAAAGACATTTTACAAATTCAATAAAATAATTGACAACAAAAAAATGGCTTACCTCTGGAATTCTTTTGTTTAGAGCAAATCTGCATGAAATCAAAACTGCATGCCCAAGTCTGGATTATTAAAAATAATCTTGGACTGGGAGTTGGGACCATCCGGTGACATTCGGAGTGTGTAACCCAGACAAATTTAATATTTTTATTGACTCACTTTATTCTTGCGTGAATTGTTCCATGATGTGATCTGTGCTCTGTTTTTTGTCTTTTTTTCATGACTGACTTTACTGTATTTGTATTATACTCTGATTAATAAAACATTTTACCAATGTCTGGATGCAAATGTGTGTCTAAAATTTGTAACCGAATAGAATGGAATAGAACCGAGCATTCAAATACAGTGATAACTAGATAGAATTGGCAGATGTCTGCTAGCAGTCATTGCAACTAAATTTGTACAATTTATTTGGAACAAACTTGCAGACAGACAGCTGCCAATTCTAGTAGATAGTTAACTAATACCTGCCATTAGCAACATTTTGACATTTTTGACAAATTTAGTTAGCTTAAGAAATACATATTATATTATTAATAAATGTTTATTATTTTAATATTTTTGTCATATTTTGTTAATTAATTATTATAACTATTTGTCTGCTTGTGTGGCAAGTGGACCAATACTGTGGATTATTGAAGGCTTGGCTGCAAATTTGCCCTGTACTATATTTGCTCAACATCAATCCGATTAAGATTCAATGTATGAGAAACCAAGAAACATAGAATGTGACGGCAAATAAGAACCATTCGGCCCATCTAGTCTGCTCAATTTTCTAAATACTTTCATTAGTCCCTGGCCTTACCTTTAGTCTAGGATAGCCTTATACCTATCCCATGCATGCTGAAACTCCCTCACTGTGTTAACCTCTACCACTTCAGCTGGAAGGCTATTCCATGCATCCACTACCCTCTCAGTAAAGTAATACTTCCTGATATTATTTTTAAACCTTTGCCCCTCTAATTTAAGACTATGTCCTCTTGTTGTGGTAGTTTTTCTTCTTTTAAATATAGTCTCCTCCTTTACTGTGTTGATTCCCTTTATATATTTAAATGTTTCTATCATATCCCCCCTGTCTCGTCTTTCCTCCAAGCTATACATGTTAAGATCCTTTAACCTTTCCTGGTAAGTTTTATCTTGCAATCCATGAACCAGTTTAGTAGCCCTTCTCTGAACCCTCTCTAAGGTATCAATATCCTTCTGAAGATACGGTCTCCAGTACTGTGTACAATACTCCAAGTGAGGTCTCACCAGTGTTCTGTACAATGGCATGAGCACTTCCCTCTTTCTACTGCTAATACCTCTCCCTAAACAACCAAGCATTCTGCTAGCATTTCCTGCTGCTCTATTACATTGTCTGCCTAACTTTTTTTTTTTGTAAATCTTTCTTTTATTGAGGCATAAAATTATACGGGTACAGAATAAAGAAGGGGAGACAATAATGAGTCATACAGGATGGGAAATCATAGTTCACTATACATCATCTCCAAAAATTGTGAGCCTCTTTTTTTTTTTTTAACACAAGATAAGATGAAGACAGAACGATTAACAGTGAGGAAGTATTCTTGTGCGTTTCCCAAAGCTGGCGTATGCTTAATTTCAATTATCACAGGCTAGGCATTTCTGAAAGAAAGAAGTTTAGGTAGGCAATCTCAATATCCTGTTGGTTGTCATGTCATTAGCACGAAAGAGTAAACTAAAGTAGCTTTGTCTAGTGACAAGTTTGCTAAACAATAGAGAATTAGGTTAACCATACTAGCTTATCTCACTGTTATGACATTCCCCAGGAAGGCTATAAGGTGTCAGACTCTCTGTTAACAGGCTTAGTGTAAGAGATTATTATAGAGTAACATGTTAATTAGCATAGGTTATACATAAGTGGTTAACTGAGAAAACATACAATTATTAAAACTTTGCTAAGTATTATGCAATGAGGCTAAGGCATGACATGACATTTGCAAATCTAGCACCAGTTTTGGTAAAGGTTATAACACTTGCAGTGATTAGTATGAGTCCAGGGTGATGGGCATTTCAGATGTCCACATGGGCAATCAGCCTACACCACATGGTGGAATGGCATTGCAAGAAACGAGAGCCAGTCCATCAGGCTGTGGGGGGAAGCCCCCTTGATCCCGCACTCGGCTGGGAGGCTGTCCTGCTTCTTTTGCCTGCCCATCCCGAGCATCTGGTCGCTTAATCCTCCTTGTTGCGGTTCTTCTCCTGTCCCTTCCCGATTACTGTCTGGTTGAAATAACCAAATTTTTAACCAGATTTACCTCTAGGAAATATGAGAATTGCAAATGTGATTTGTAATTCAGATATTTTAACCAAAGTTTTCTGATAAGAACTGGACTTTAGTGATTAACCCTATCAGTAAATACTGGTCCTCCCATTGTTTTTAATTAAATTGTTAAAGGGTTACTCCAACCCTTTTGATTGAGGATGGCTTTCACGCCCCTGCTGACATCACAACAACCTTGCATGTCCAATCACAGGCTTCTCATAGAGAAGACGGCATGCGTGCGCTCCGTACTGGCAAAGGGAGAGAGGGATTGGAGAGGGAGGGAAGTTTTTTTTTTTTTTAAATATATATATTGAGGGAAATGGAATGAGACTAAAGAGAGCCACAGTGTGTGGGTGGGAGGGCGAAGCAGTCTTTCTCTTGCAGGCACTGAATTAACATTGGCAGCCCAGGACAGAGTTCTGGGCTCCCAATGTCACGTGTGCTGGGAGTGCAACTAGTCCCCCAGCACAAATTTAAAAATATTTCAGTATGTGCAGTATTTCAAGCAGAAAACTGTGCATACTGACTCCTAACATCAAATCATTGAAGTGGTCATGATGGTTGGAGTAACCCTTTAAGAGAATGACATACTTTTAGGATAGGTCATTTGGTGCTCAGTAGTAGTTCTATTCGGATAAGACATAGCATGGTTCTATGAGCAAATATTTTCATTCTTGCTTTTTCCAGAAAACGATGAAATGATGTGAATTTCTGCACATGGCCATGGGTACAGAAAGCAGGTGGGATGGGTGGGGACAGATCCCATTAGAAAATCTTGAGGGGTTAAAAGTAAAATAAATAGGTCAATATCCTATTCCATCGAAAGCCCTTCCAGTGATCGTGTATCATTTTGCCTACAGAAAACGTTGTTGTTTAACATAGGCACCTTAACGGGCTCATGTTTGTTATGAAACTTACGCTAAGATTTAGAATACATCAGGCAAACTTAAAACTCTTTGTCACAGTTATGTGTGCTGTGAGAATTAATTATTATTATTATTATGATATTTATAGAGCGCCGTCAAATTCCGCAGCGCTTTACAATGGGTGGACAAACAGACATGTAGTTGTAACCAGACAAGTTGGACACACAGGAACAGATGGGTTGAGGGCCCTGCTCAATGAGCTTACATGCTAGAGGGATTGGGGTAAAATGACACAAAAAGGTAAGGATAGTATTAGACTAGTGACAGTTGCAGAAGAGGAATCAGTCAGGAGCTATTAACAGTTTAATTGATACGCTTTTATGAAGAAGTGGGTTTTTAACGATTTTTTGAAGGAGTGGAGACTGGGTGAGCATCTAACAGAGGAGGGAAGCGAGTTCCACAGGAACGGTGCAGCCCTCGAGAAATCTTGAAGGCGAGCATCAGAGGTGGGAGTACGGACAGAAGATAGACGTAAGTCTTCAGCAGATCGTAAGGGCCTAGATGGGACATACTTGTGTATAAGGGAGGATAGATAGGTGGGAGCAGCATTATGTAGAGATTTGAAAGCAAGAACCAGAATTTTAAATTGAGCTCTATATTTTATAGGAAGCCAATGTAGGGACTGACAGAAGGGTGAGGAATGGGACGTGCGGGCGGACAGGAAGATGAGCCTCGCCGCCGCATTCATTATGGACTGTAAGTTGGGAGCACGTAAGACCACTGAGAAGCGGATTACAGTAGTCAAGGAGAGAAAGGACAGTGGAATGGACCAACACCTTAGCTTTAGTGTACTAATACACTACATTTAATAATGGCAAGAGGTGAATATTTTTCATAATATTTCTTTAGTCACTCCATAGCAGCAAAGAAAAATATAAGAAAACTGAGAACCAATCAAAAACAAGCAGTGGGTATAACAGTAGCACTTCCTCTGTAAACTGCAACATCACAAATCCATTAATCCAGATAAACGAAAGAATCAGCAAAGTCAAAGAAATGCACCAAGCGAACAGATGAACCGATGTCTGACAAACAGGAACAATCGAAGCTCCACTCTAAATTCAGTCCAAGCTCATAGCGAGTGTAACAAGCGTTAGTGGAACAAAATAGACTATACACAACATGTAACCTGACAATGCTGTACTAGAATTTATAAATAATAAATACAATCTAGCGGATAACACTAACAATGCGAACATATTCGTAACAATAATAAGCAATACTAGCCCATAACAAATCAAATAAACATCTAAAGGAATAGAGACATTAAAGGACCACTATAGGCAACCAGACCACTTCAGCTTAATGAAGTGGTCTGGGTGCCAGGTCCATCTAGGATTAACCCTGCCTGCTGTAAACATAGCAGTTTCAGGGAGAGCTATGAGAAACTGCTATGTTTACAAATGGGTTAATCCAGCCTCTATTGGCTGTCTCATTGACAGCCACTAGAGGCACTTCCGTGCTTCTCACTGTGATTTTCACAGTGAGAAGACGCCAGCGTCCATAGGAAAGCATTGAGAATGATGACGGCCAAATGAGGAGGAGAGTCCTCAGCGCCGAGTTTTTAACCCTCTTCCTCTCCATTCAACCTGGTGGGAGTGGGACACTGAGGGTGGGGGCACCCTCAGGGCACTATAGTGCCAGGAAAACGAGTTTGTTTTCCTGGCGCTATAGTGGTCCTTTAAGTAATATAAATAGAATCAAACATGCAAACTAAAAGAAGGTGAATACTAGAATGAAAAGTGGAACTAAGGGGGGGTGGGGGGGGGGATAGAATAGATAATAAAAGAGATAAAAAGGGGAGAAATATTTGCCTGTCATTATTAAAATTAAAGGGACACTATAGTCACCAGAACAACTACAGCTTGTTGAATTTGTTCTGGTGTGTATAATCATTACCTTCAGGCTTTTTGCTGTAAACACTTTTTCAGTGAAAATGCAGTGTTTACATTACAGCCTAGTGATAACTTCACTGGCCACTCCTCAGATAGCTGTTAAAGAGCCTTCCTGGGCCATGGCTGCCTAAAATGAATCCAAAC